CAGACAGACAGACAGACAGAGACAGACAGAGACAGACAGAGACAGACAGAGACAGAGACAGAGACAGACAGAGAGACAGAGACAGAGACAGAGACAGAGACAGACAGACAGAGACAGACAGACAGAGAGACAGACAGAGACAGACAGACAGACAGAGACAGACAGACAGAGACAGACAGACAGACAGACAGACAGACAAGAGACAGACAGACAGACAGACAGAGAGAGAGAGACAGACAGAGAGAGACAGAGAGAGAGACAGATGAGACAGAGAGAGACAGACAAAGAGACAGACAGACAAAGAGAGAGAGAGACAGAGAGAGAGACAGATGAGAGAGGAAGTGACAGAGGGAGACACAGAGAGAGACAGAATGAAAGAGAGACAGAATGCGAGAGAGAAGAGGTGACAGAGAGAAACAGCGGAGAGAGAGACACAGAAGGAGACAGAGAAGAGAGAAACAGAGGAGAGGTGACAGAGAGAGATGGAGAAAGAAAGAGATGGAGAGAGACACACAGAATGAAAGAGAAACAGAGGAGAAAGAAGGTGAGAGAGGGAGACAGAGAAGAGAGAGAGACAGAACAAAAGAGAGACAGAATGAGAGAGAGACAGAGACGAGATTAGGTGAGAGACAGAGACAGAGGAGAGAGAAAGAGACAGAGAAGGAGAGACAGAAAGAGGGACAGAACGAGAAATAGACAGAGAGAGAGAGACAGAATGAGAGAGACAGTACGAGAAAGAGACAGAACGACAGGAGAGAAGGAGAGAGAATGAGAGAGAGAAACAGAGGAGAGAGAGACAGAGAGAGAGAGACTGGATGAACAGAGGGAGGATATAGAGACTGAGTGAACAGAGGGAGGATATAGAGACTGGATGAACAGAGGGAGGATATAGAGACTGGATGAACAGAGGGAGGATATAGAGACTGGATGAACAGAGGGAGGAATATAGAGACTGAGAGAACAGAGGGAGGATATAGAGACTGAGATGAACAGAGGGAGGATATAGAGATGAGAGAACAGAGGGAGGATATAGATAGAGACTGAGTGAACAGAGGGAGGATATAGAGACTGGATGAACAGAGGGAGGATATAGAGACTGGATGAACAGAGGAGGATATAGAGACTGATGAACAGAGGGAGGATATAGAGACTGAGTGAACAGAGGGAGGATATAGAGACTGGATGAACAGAGGGAGGATATAGAGAGGCTCTGGGAGGATCAGGGAGTGAGTGGCGGCTGTAGGAAAAACAGGGAGGAGGTAAAAGGAGGAGTGAAACAGACTGGGAAATGGAGCTGGACTCTTGGCAATAACACGTCACTGTTGAAGTTACTCGTCTCATTCAAGCTTCAGGGTGAAAAGTAACTGTGACTTTACTGTAAGTGAAGGACAGGAGCTGAATGTAAATGAACTCTAGTGTGAGATTTACAGTGTGTCCAGAGATGTACACATTCTCTGCTCATGACCACACCAGAGAGATATCAGGAGGAACGAGGGAGGAACGAGGGAGGAAAGGGCGTCTCCTCCATCGTTCCTCTCTCGTTCCTGTGTGAGATGTGGGTGGAGTGAAGCCCGAGCGATAAGAAGCACAGATTAAACAAATAGAAGAACATTTGTCTGTCAAAAGTAACATAGGGTTTAAGGAGTGGAACTACGAGAGAGAGAGAAGAGGAGGAGGAGGAGGAGATAAAAAGAGGGATGACAGAGGGGTGAGAGAGAGGAGAGGAGATAAGAGAGGAAGGGAAAGAGAGAGAGATAAATGGAGCGAAAGGAGGGACAGAGAGGAGTGAGAAACATGGAGAGAGAGAGAGAGGAGGGAGATAGAGAGCGGGAGAGGAAAGAGAGGTAAAGAGACTGAGGACAAGAAGGAGAAGTAGAAAGAGAGGGGATGAGAGAGGGAAGGAGATAAAGAGACAGAGGGAGAGGAAAGAGAAGGAGTGAGAGAGGGAGAGGGAAATAGAGAGAGAGAAGTAGGAATAAAAAAGTGGGACGAGAGGGAGGGAAAGAGAGAGAAGGGGAGGAAGAAAGTGTGGAGGAGGGAGGGAGAGAGGGAGAGAGAGAGAGGAGGGGAGATAAACAGAGCGAGAGAAGGGAAGAGAGCGACAGAGAGGTGTGAGAAACAAGGAGAGAGAGGGAGATGAAGAGAAGGAGGAGTAGAGAGAAATTGAGAGGAAAGAGAAGGAGTGAGAGAGGGAGAGAGAGGAGAAGAGAGAAAGGGAGAGAAGGGCGGGAGAGAGGAGTGAGTAAGAGGAGGAGAGGAGCGAGGGAGGCTGGCTGACAGCAGATCCTCCACCAGAAAAGTGACATAATGTCTCTTTAAAGTGCAGTTCAGATTTGACTAATGCTCTTCTCTAGTTTGACTGAGTTCATCTTCTAGAATCTTCCGCTCCACAAATGTTTCTCTTCTCGTTCTTTGTTTGGGATCAGCTCCACAAACTTGTCATATTTATCTCATGTCTTAAAGTCCTTTCAGCTCAAATACTCATGACTTTCTGAAGAGTTTTGACTTGAGTTCATTTCTTGTGACAGAGAAGACGCTGAACTTTGTGTCTGTTTTTGTTTCATGGACAGACCCAGAAATGACAGAAATATGAACCATAAACCAGCTCAACACATCTGTAATCTGACAGTTCCAGAGGGAGTATTGAGCAATGTTTAAGTAATCTAGTGATCTCTCCTGGACCCTATTCTGTATGAGTCTGTACAATTCTCCATAAATATACAAAAACATGATACAAAACTGAACACAACAACTGGACAAACCTGATGTGACGTGCAGGAGTTTCAGTAGTGTGATGGACGCTGATTGTGTTGTTATTTGTGTTTTAGGTTGACACAATAAATGGTAACGTGGTGATCTAAATATGTTATGTGTAGGGCCAGACCAATATGGATTTTTTTGGGGACCTGATTCTGATAAAACGGGCTTTGGAGTACAGAAGCGCAGATGGGCTATTTTTTCATCTGCAACAGCGACACAAAACTCATCATCCGCCCGCTGTCCATTTGCACCCAAAGTTTTGATCAATTTTCAAATCCGCACTCGCCCGACATCTGCCAATTAATTTTAGATTTTAGAACAATCATATAGCAAACAAACTAAGGAGCCTCGATAAAAATGCAAACTCTATAGCTCATTCATTCCAAAATTCGCTCAACGTGCGTGTTCACATTCTTAAATATCCGTAAAAACCCCAAAACATTTCGCAAAGCGAATTCATTGACAACGTTTTCCGACTAGGCCTTTGTGTTGGATGTTATTGTATTCTGAACATTCTGCCATTGCCCGATGTTATTTCAGTCATAGCCTCACTCCATCAGTCTTTCCTTAAGTTTTAAATACCCCGAGTGGCAGTCTACGTTACAATGTCTGCATGTTTTAAAATATAACTGATATCGAAACAAAATAGAAAGATCGTCTCATCCAGATGAACAGATGAACCTTTATTGAAATCAGCAATGCACTTTATGTTCCAAATGAAATAGGCAAGAAAAAATATGCCTAACTAAATAAATAAATATGGCCCTATAACCACTTATGTTCATACTACAAACATAGACGTTTTTTCAGATGTAGGTAACAATACTTTATGATATACAATTATAGTATACAATATACAATATAGGTATTTATATATATAATATATATATATATATATATATATATATATATATATATATATATCTGAGTAGTTACACCGCCACCCGCCCGAATTTAATAAAAATATCATTTTTCGTCACTTCATCCACCCAACCCGTGGTTTAGCTGTGGATACCACGGTTTTAACCACAGTCTGCGCGTCTCTACTTTGGAGCTGTCGACAGGTGATATAAAAGCCGATGTATTTAGTGATGTAAAAATTCACTGTAAATCTTCAACTGATTATTAAACTTAGATTTGGCTTTATTGGATTTTAAATTGTGTTTGTTTAGGCAACATTTATTGTTATTTTGCCTTTTTATGTCATATTTAAAGACAGTAGGTCAAACTAATGGTATTTTTGCATCATATTCTAACCTAAACAAAGTAAGTAAACTACTGCTATCAGCCTTTAGTGGTAAATGTGTGCACGCACGGTAATTAATTATATGCCTAAATGCCCATCATTCACACTTCTGTTCACAGCTCATTTACACATCAGTGCAGGTCCAGTAACATGTACAAACACTATAGTCACTTTACACTAGGACAATGGAAGAAAACAGACTGTTTATGTGGGAGCTACAGCAGCAAAGAGCTAAACAATGAGAAAGAACCAAAAGTAGCTCCATTTGCAACACTCAGCCTCACACAGGAACCTCTCACATCACAAGTCTGCACTAATCAAATCAATCAATCAATCAAACTTTATTTATAAAGTACTTTCCATACAAAAATGTAACACAAAGTGCTTTACACAGATTAAAAACAATCCCACATTTCCACCCACCCACCAGGAACCACCACAGGGCCCAATAAGTTTGATAAAAACAGCAGTAGTTTTGTTGCTGGACTAAAGTGTGTTCAAGTTCATTTTTATTTATCGTCAGTATCGTGAGTGACATGACTCTGGTGGTGCGTTCAGGGGCAGTACGGCGTCACACACACAGAAAAATGACTCCACAGATAAATATTGATGCAGTGCCACATATTAGGACATTTATCTGTCTGTAAATTGGATTAAATGGACATAATGTAGAGAGTCTAAGATTTATTTACGAGGTATAACATGACCATGATATGTCTTCCAGTGCCCATATTGGTCGAGCACTAGTTTTGTGTTACAGTTAATACCTCATAAAAGTAAAATCCACCTCTTTAATCCTGAAATTCCACAGTTTCTGACCTGTCTCCAGCTCACTTTAAACTAGAGGGATGTGCTGATGTGACGTGAACACAACATGATGAGCTGTGCCTCTTTCTTTGTCCATAGTGAAGTGTGTAATCTGATAACACACACTGTATACGACACTTTCTCATGAAACTTATCTGTATTTCTCTATTTCCTGTGTGTTTTTCAGGAGGACAATGAGATCCCCACTGACGTCTTCGTGAAGGACTCTCTGAAGGCTTCTCTTCCTCAGTTTGACGAGCCCGCCCTCGCCTCCTCTATCGCCGGCTCGGTCTCCGCCCACCCGCCCTCCATCGCCGGCTCCGCCTCCATAGCGCCCTCTGTGTCGGGCTCTGTGGACGTGCGCTCTCCGGAGGAAGGCCTTCATACCGTGAGTCTGAGCTCTGATGAAGACGATGAGCTGAATCTGCACCGTGAGCTGCCAGAAGAGGGCGGCGACGCTGACTCCACTCTGGGGTAAGGTCTTTATACATGGATGTCATTTTAATAATCGAGTATACACTAGAACTACTTCACTACGGCAACACACACAGACAAACTACACTAATATACAGTCGAGTTGTATGAGTCTGTAAATCTGTTTAGACCAGCGGTGTCAAAGTCATTTTGGTCCGGGGGCCGGATCAGAAAACCCCAAAAATAACAAGTTATTTTTAAGTTCAAATATTTGTTCAGAGAAACACAAATCTATTACAGAAATCTTTTAAATTGATGAACTCTTTCTTTTACAAAATATTATAATATTATGAACAACCTGAAACTTTAAGAAAAATACAATTTCAACACAATGTTTTAAAATGAACTTGTATGCAAATAGGAATAAGTCAATTTTTGTTGTAAAATCCTGCACTCGGCTCCACTTTTCTCATGTTGCACATTTTTCTGATGAGGGTGTCACGGTCAACAGTCAAAACAATCGTCCTTTAAGAGCGTTTGGAAAGAGACAAATCTTCATAGTTGTTCACTTGTGCACAGAGGCTCTGGAGACGCTGCTGTGCTCAGCACCGCAGAAAATTACCAATATTTTAATAGAAAATATAATGAAACAATTTTAGTAGAAAATCAGCCAAGGGCCAGGTTAAAGATCCTGGAGGGCTGGATCTGGCCCCTGGGCCGTATGTTTGACACCCCTGGTTTAAGTGAAATATGAGGCCTGTGTTTGTGTTTACACTGAATTGACCAGGCGAGTGCAGAGAAACATGCAGGCTAACACTATTATTTTAGTACAATGTTTTTCTCAATGTAAACCTTGTTTGTGAATTCTACTGAACTCAAATAAATGTCAAACTAAGGTTTCATCTCATAGAGAACATCTGTAAACATCTTATTCTGACATACCACCACTCTGACAGACCCCCACCCCGGCATTCTGACATGTTGGCAACCCTCCATTTCGACGCTTTTTGATGCTGCCATTCCAACCTTTTATATCGCCATTCTGACAACCTACTCATAGTTTGGAGCGTCACCTTTTGTACTTTGTATACGCTGTGTGGACCACGCCTCTAAACCAGAACAAAAACCAGGACTACACCCGGACTTAATCAGGACTAAACCAGGACTAAAATCAGGTTTAAACCAGGACTAAACCAGGACTAAAATCAGGTTTAAATCAGGACTGAAACCAGGACTAAACCAGGATTTAACCAGGACTAAACCAGGATTTAAATAGGACTAAACCAGGACTAAACCAGGACTAAACCAGGATTTAACCAGGACTAAACCAGAACTAAACCAGGACTAAACCATGCCGCATCTTCTTGTGTACGCCACGCACTGCACTTCTTCCCTCCTCCCATGCACCTCGCCTCCTACGCCGCCAGTCTGTAAAAATACTGTCCTGAAAAGAGTGCCGCCGCAACTTCAGAATTCCCTTGTGTGTCAGAATGGTGGAATGTTGAGAAAAAAAAGCTAAAGCGCCACCACTCTGATCAAGAAAAAAAAAGAAAAATGTCGGAGTGCAGGGACGCTTGATAAAAAATGTAAATGTCGCTATTAGGGATGGGCATGATTAGTCAATTAATTTTCATTGATTAAGTTAATTTTAATCGACAAACCGAATGTAGGTTGTTGTGTGTGTCGTGACCAAACAGGGGTCTGTACATGTGTCTCTGCATCAGAAGGAGCGAGACACAAACAGTCTGTCAGTCTGCAACATACCGAAGCACAAATGTGGATTTAACGATGACTTATACAAGAAATTCCACACTTTCCGTTGCGTTGGGACAAGTGTGAGTCCATGTGCACAGTGTATAAAGCAGCACATATGTTTCTGTGTCCAGTGGGAAAAAGTTTTTCCAGGTGAGAGTCGCTCAATGTGGATGACGAGGCCCCGCCCCCCTCCCTCCGTACGCTGTCCTGGTTTTGACAAACACAAATCTGGTCACACTGACCTGTATTCACCTGAGTCATGTCTTTTAATCCAACAGAAATTGAACCACATCAGCGACACAAGAGCTGGAGTTTTATCTTCACTTAGTTTATGCAAATTAGTGATGTGGTTTTAAGTTTTGTTTCTGTGAGATTTGAACAAAACTGAATTAAACACATTATAATGTCAAACAGCTGATGTGGCTCTAGAGTCGTTACGGTTTATATGTCGTAAAGCTGAATTTATTTATGCAGATTAGTGCAGATAGTAATAATAATGATGATCATTTTAATATAAAAACTTTAATGATTAATCGATAATTGATTGTTAATTCTTCCGACAAAATTTCATTGAATGCCCATCCCTAGTCGCTATTCCGACATTTAGACGTCAGTGTCGGAGTGGCAGTATGTGTTCGAATGATGGACACAAATCCTGCACATAACTCTAGACAATAGAGGAAGGACAGGGGTCATGTAGCTGGAGACGGACGCTGTGGGTGAGGTCACAGTGTATAGAAACAACAGGACAGGAACATGAACATGAACATAATGTTTGTGTACTGAAGTCATGTGCAACTTTTGTAAGGTTCACTTATTCTCTGAAGTTCAGCTGAAATGGAGCCAAACGTTCAATAAGATTTAACCAACAAGAGAAGGATTTTAGGAGGAGTTATTTCCGACAATCACAGACATGGCAGAGCTGAAAGAAGCCGGAATGATTCACTTGAGACTTTTTATCTGTTTCCACAAATAAACAGTACATGTATCATAGACAGACAAACAGTCTATGGTCACAGCATGTGACCTCTGTAACAAAGTCTTCATGTTTCTCTCTTTCTCTCTTCACTTCTTCTCTCTTTCCTCTTCAGCCTTGGTTCGAGCCGTCCCTATGAGAGACGCGCCGATCGGTTCAAACGAAACAGTCTGAAGAAAGTGGACAGTCTGAAGAAGGCCTTCACCAGACAGAACATCGAGAAGAAGATGAACCAGATCACCACCAAGATCGTCCCTCCAGAAAAACGAGAAAAGATTATCAAGAGTCTAACCCCCAACCACCCCAAGAGCCCCACGGCCAGGGCCTCCTCCTTTAAGGTCGCCCCCATGACCTTCAACGTCAAGAAGGTGAGACCGTACAAGGAGAGAAAGATCTGTGTATCATTTCTTCATTTGTTTTTCAAAATAAAACCAAAAATACATGCATTATTCATTATTATCATTCATCATTATTCATCATCTTCATTATTTGTCTCAAAAAATCAAAATGAAAAAACAATTTGTTTTTCAGTTTTTGATTTTGTGTTTAAATGAATCATGGAAAAAATGGATAATGGCCGTTTCCCGTTTCTGTGACTTAAACTGCGATGCCAGACTTTTGCACCGCAAATGGACTGAACCAGGACTGAACCAGGTCTAAACCAGGACTACACCAGGACTAAACCGGTCTCAGTCCTGGTCTTAGTCCTGGTGTCGGTCCTTGTCTGGTCATGGTCTCAGTCCTGATCACCCAACAGTCTACGTGGCTGCACCTCTGGCCCCGTTCCGACACTCAGTCCTGGTTTAGTCCTGGTTTAGACCTGGTTTAGTACTGGTTTAGACCTGGTTTAGTCCTGGTTTAGTCCTGGTTTAGTACTGGTTTAGACCTGGTGTAGTCCTGGTTTAGTCCTGGTTCAGTCCTGGTTTAGACCTGGTTTAGTCCTGGTTTAGTACTGGTTTAGACCTGGTTTAGTCCTGGTTTAGTCCTGGTTCAGTCCTGGTTTAGACCTGGTTTAGTCCTGGTTTAGACCTGGTTTAGTCCTGGTTTAGTACTGGTTTAGACCTGGTTTAGTCCTGGTTTAGTCCTGGTTTAGTCCTGGTTTAGACCTTAGTCCTGGTTAGTCCTGGTTTAGACCTGGTTTAGTCCTGGTTTAGTCCTGGTTTAGTCCTGGTTTAGACCTGGTTTAGTCCTGGTTTAGACCTGGTTTAGTCTGGTTTAGTACTGGTTTAGTCCTGGTTTAGTACTGGTTTAGACCTGGTTTAGTCCTGGTTTAGACCTGGTTTAGTCCTGGTTTAGTACTGGTTTAGACCTGGTTTAGTCCTGGTTTAGTACTGGTTTAGACCTGGTTTAGTCCTGGTTTAGTCCTGGTTTAGTCCTGGTTTAGTCCTGGTTTAGTACTGGTTTAGACCTGGTTTAGTCCTGGTTTAGACCTGGTTTAGTCCTGGTTTAGACCTGTTTTAGTCCTGTTTTAGACCTGGTTCAGTCCGGCATTGCAGTTTAAGTCGCAGAAACGGGAAACGATCATTTTCAGTTTTTTCCGTTATTCATTTAAACACAAAATCAAAAACTGAAAAAAAAAAAATCTTTTTCATTTTGGTTTTCATTCTTATTTTTGGTTTTATTTTGAAAAAATGAATGAACAGATGATACACGGATTAGGCTGGTTTGAGTGACCTGAGCTCACTGGTTTGTGATGCTCAAAAATATCTTTTCCCACATTTATTTTGTCTGTAGGGTTTAGCTCCGCCTACTGTGTGAAACAGACATGTGCACCATGTGATCAGTACCGATGTTGGCAGAGTGGGCTCATAGCAGGACTAGGCTAAATCTTACAAAGCTAATGTTTTAACACTTTTTTTAAATGTAAAAAGTTGTGGTGAACATATTGAAGAATCCCTTTGAAAGGAGCTCCTGGTGAGAGCTGCACATCTCTGTCAGAAGAGTCTGAGTCACATCCACTCTCTGTGGGAGAATCAGTCTGTGGGAGAATCAGTCTGGGTCAAAGCTGCAGTTTCCTGTTTATCGATGCACAACAATCTCATTAAGATCAAAATGTGATATTTCCATAACAGCATACATCCACCACGAGCCACTGCGGACATAAAGACACGCTCAAGACACAGGAGGAGAATAAACGCAGAAAAACACTGACGATAAACCAGAAACATTCACAGCCATAAACCTGGAATTACTAAAGCTCTTTTTGTGAATGAGATCGCCATTCTAGTTATGATTTAGATTTTATTGATGATTAAAACCTGGGTGATGTTTAGGTGATGTTTAGGTGATGTTTAGGTGATGTTTAGGTGATGTTTAGGTGATGTTTGGGTGATGTTTAGGTGATGCTTGGGTGATGTTTGGGTGATGTTTAGGTGATGTCTAGGTGATGTTTAGGTGATGTTTGGGTGATGTTTGGGTGACGTGAGCGCCAGTCCAAAGTGTCTTACTCACTCATGTTCTTCCACAGATGAGAGACGGTCAGACCCCCACACCAGAGGCCAGCCCCTCCTCGGCCGCAGCCCACGTAGAGATCCCTCCTCTGGGCAGCCCGGACAAGGACATCCGCATGGACCTGGACGTGGAAGGAGGGGCGGTGGCTCCGGTCCGTGAAGCCCTCCAGGAGTGCAGTGTCCAGGCAGAGATCTCCGTCAACGGGGAGGTGGATGTGGAGGTCAACGGGGACACCCACTCTGCCAACGACACCCACTCTGCTGGGGACCATTCTGTGGAGGAGCCGAGCACAGAGGAGCCGACCAGTCCTGAGGTAAGTCCTGAGGTGTCAGATGCCCTTCCATCCTCCTGTATTTTCTCTGGGCACTCCGGTTTCCCCAGTCAACCCAAAACATGGACAACAGGTCAAATGCTCCAGCCTAGAACATCCTGACAAAGACCAGCTCAAGATCTGGAGATGGCCCCATGCCTCCTGACACATTTAGCCCAGAGACACTGAAGGACAGGTCAAATGCAGATTTAATGGAGTCAGACTGAAGGATGGGTCAAATGCAGGTCTAATCCAGAGACACTGAAGGATGGGTGAAATGTAGGTTTAACTTAGAGACACTGAAGGAAGGGTCAAATGCAGGTTTAATGCAGTCACACTAAAGCATGGACCAAATGCAGGTTGAACCCAGAGACACTGAAGGATGGGTCAAATGCAGGTCTAACCCAGAGACACTGAAGGATGAGGCAAATGCAGGTTTAACCCAGAGATACTGAATGATGGGTCAAATGCAGGTTTAATACAGTCACACGAAAGGATGGGTCAAATGCAGATCTAACCCAGAGACACTGAAGGATGAGGCAAATGCAGGTTTAACCCAGAGATACTGAATGATGGGTCAAATGCAGGTTTAATGCAGTCACATTAAAGGATGGGCCAAATGCAGGTCTAACCCAGAGACACTGAAGGATGGGTCAAATACAGGTTTAACCTAGACACACTGAACAATGGGTCAAATGCAGAGGACACATTTCCCTACAGACATAACTAAGTGTGTTTTAAGACAGATGGAGGAGGATGGGAGGGCATCTGGCTCACTGGTCTCTCGCTCTCAGGCCGGCGCGGAGGTGACTGTCGGAGCGGGTTTGGCCGTCCCCGAGTCGGTGGATGACGTGGGAGAGGAGGAAGAGGAGGAGGAAGAGGAGAGTCCGACAGAGGGCGCGACGGAGGCGAGCATCACCGCAGAAACCTCTCCCTCGGCAACCATCCCCACGGCAACCATCGCAGTGGAACAAGCATCTTAATGTGACAAGAGTTTAGAGTTTTAACATCGTCTGAAAATATAAGAAATTCTAGAAAGTTTACCTGATCCAGAGAAAACACTTTTTTTCTCACATTTACTTAAAGCGACAGATCATGTTTTACACTAAAATGATCCAAATGAGTGTGGTGAAGGTGTTTGGACTTTAAAAACCCAGAGGAGCATTTCTCATGGTGTAAGAGTGTTGTGAAGTGTGCAGAGGGACACAGGATTACTGAAACATGCATGAATGAAACAAAACACAACTCCAGGGATGTTTCTGAGGAGAACAGGGTTAAAGCCTCACTGCGGAGCATTACAACAGGGTTACGAAGGTTTCAAAATAGTTATATCAAATAATTCCTCTTGTGATTTGAGTGTGCTCCTTTTTCCTCTTCTTTAAAAGCACCAAAGTCCCAGAGCCAAAACAAACCCCCTTCAGCCGTGAATGGGACACTTCACCCAGGGCCGTCCTCTCCTCGCCTGCCCCAAAACAGGCTCATCTCCTGGGCACGAGGCCAGACGGCTCCCCCCGAAAACACCAGAGCACCATAAGTACCAGCTCAGAGCTAAACCAGGACTAACCCACGACTAATGTACGAGGATTTAAACAGGTCTTATCCAGGGCTAAACTGGGACTAAACCAAGACTAAACCAGGACACATTCAACTCTGGACTAAATCTGAAAGTAGACTCAACCAGGACTCAAAACCAGGTCTAAACCGAGACTAAAACAGAACTAAACCATGAGTAAGATGGGAGTATGACAGGACTAAAGCAAGATTTTAACCTATTCTAAAACAGGACTACACCAGGTTTAAACCGGGTCTAAGACCAGGAATAAAAGCAGGCCAAAACCAGCTATGAACCTGGACTTCAAAAAGGTCTAAATCTGGTCTAACCTGGGTCTAAACCAGGACTTAAACCTAGTCTAAACCAGGAATGATTTAGAACAAGGACTATGCTGAGTCTAAGACAGGACTTAGATCTAAAAGCAGGTCTAATCAAGGCTTAAACCAGGACTGAACCAGGACTAACCCACGACTGTTATACAAGGATTTAAACAGGTCTTATTCAGAGCTAAACTGGGACTAAACCAAGACTACACCAGGACTAGGGGTGCATTCACACATACAACTGTGGACTAAATCTGAAACTAGACTGAACCAGGATTCAGAACCAGGTCTAAACAAGGTCTAAACCAGGACTAAACCAGAACTAAACCATGAGTAAGATGGGAGTATGACAGGACTAAAGCAAGATTTTAACCTATTCTAGATCAGGACTACACCAGGTTTAAACCGGGTCTAAGACCAGGACTAAAAGCAGGCCAAAACCAACTATGAACCTGGACTTCAAAAAGGTCTGAATCGGGTTTAACGTGGGTCTAAACCAGGACTTAAACTCAGTCTAAACCAGGAATGAACTAGAACTTAACAAGGACTACTCTGAGTCTAAGACAGGACTTAGATCTAAAAGCAGGTCTAATCAAGGCCTAAACCAGGACTGAACCAGGACTAACCCACGACTATTATACAAGGATTTAAACAGATCTTATTCAGAGCTAAACTGGGACTAAACCAAGACTAAACCAGGACTAGGGGTGCATTCACACATACAACTGTGGACTAAATCTGAAACTAGACTGAACCAGGATTCAAAACCAGACCTAAACCAGGTCTAAACCGGGACTAAAAAAGAATGAGTACAATGGGAATATGACAGGATTAAACCAAGATTTCAACCTATTCTAAAACAGGACTACACCAGGTTTAAACTGGGTCCAAGACCAGGACTAAAAGCAGACCAAAACCAACAATAAACCAGGACTTCAAAAAGGCCTAAATCAGGTCTAACCTGGGTCTAAACCAGGACTTAAACCCAGTCTAAACCAGAAATGAACCAGAACTTAACAAGAACTCTAAGACTAAAACAGGACTTAGATTTAAAAGCAGGTCTAATCCAGGCCTAAACCAGGACTAAAAACTGTCACTAGTACAAAAGAAACTAAGACCAGGATTAAAACAGGACTAAAGCGGGTCATTGGTCCATCTCTGGTCACACAGAGCCCTGCCTCGCTCCCCCGTCTCCCCCCGTCTCCCTCTCTCACAAACCTCCTCTTTGTGCTTTGTTGTTGTGGCTGAAAATACTAAATCTCCAGCTCTTTTAAGTGGAGCGGGGTTGCCAGGTTGAGTCATGGGTTGCCAGGTTGGGCGAGGGGTTGCCAGGTTGACTGAGAGCAGGAATGGAGCGTTGCCGTGGTTTCAGGCCAAAGGATGTAGTTGCAATAAACAAGAAAATACCACCTCAGAAATATGTGTGGGTGAAAACAAGGACTAAACCAGGACTAAACCAGGACTAAACCAGGACTAAATCAGGACTAAATCAGGACTAACCAGGTCCAAACAAGGACTTAACCAGGTGTAAACCAGGTCTAAACTGGGACAAAAACTAAAACTGAACCAGACCTATTTCTAACCAGGCCTAAACAAGACCTTAATCAGGACTTGATCTGATCTTAAACAGTTCTAAATCAGAATGGTCCATTCCAGGACTTCACCAGATCTAATCCAGGACTAGTTGTAGACCAGAACCAAACCAGGTCCAAACAAAGACTAAACTGGAACTAGTTCTACCCAGATCTAGACCAGGTTTAAACAAAGTCTAAAACAGGACTAAACTCGAACTGAATCAGAACTATTTCTGACCAGCTCCAAACAAGAACTGACCAGATCAAAACCAGGACTGAACCAGGACTAAACCAGGCCTAAACCAGGACTAAATCAAGTGTAAACAACGACTAAACCAGATTTAAACCAGGATCTAAACCATAACTAAATGGTCCAAATTGGGACTTAACTGATCCAACCCCGGTCCCAATCAGGAATAAACCAGGACCAAACCAGATCTAAACCAGTTCTAAACTAGGACTAAACCAGGACTAAATTTGGCCTAAACCATGTCTAAACCAGGATTAAACCAGATTTAAACCAGGACTGAACTAAGTTTAAGCCATATATAAACAAGGATTGAACAAGGTCTAAACAAGGTCTAAACCAGATCTAAACCAGATCTAAATTAGGACTAAACTAGGTCTAAACCAGGTCTAAACCAGTACTAAACCAGTACTAAACAAGGTCTAAACCCAGGTCTAAACCAGAACTAAACCAGGACTAAACCAGGACTAAACCAGGTCTATACCCACACATATCTGGATGGTATGGTCGTGGTGTTTGAGGTGAACATATGTCAGTGTGAGTGTGTTTCCATGGCGATGTGTAAAAGTCCAGTATGTGATAGTTTCAGGTGAGACGGAGGAGCAGGACAAAACCATCCCACTGTTTTGAATATGGAAATACACAGCAGGACTCATTTGAATCTGGATGTTTACTATTATACAGCAACTACTACTGCTACTACTACTACTACTACTACTACTACTACTACTACTACTACTACTACTACTACTACTATTACTACTATTACTACTATTACTGCAACTAAAACACCTACTTCTACTACCACCGCCTATACTGCTGCTTACTGCTACTACTGCAAATGTTACTGTTCATATGTGTACTGCTAATACTGCTTTATACTACTACTACTACTACACATGCTAGTATTACAACTACTACTACTACTGCCAGTATTGCTGCTGCTGCTACTAAGAAATATGACTACTACTACTACTGCTAATGTTACTACTCCTGCTACTGTATTACTGTTTCTGATAGGCTTCTTCTAAAACTACTACTAACTACTACTACTACAGCTACTACAACTGCAAATAATGTTACTGCTACTACTACTATGACAGTGACTACAACTACTGACACTACAAATAATACAACTAAAATACCATCATTGTTACAGCTGCAAGTTCATTTATTGTAACAACTAAACAATTACTTCTGTTACGACCACTGCCAATACTGCTGCTACTACTACTACAACAACTACTACTACTACTACTGCTGCTATTACTACTACTATGACGATGAATGCTACTACTACTGACACTACTATTACTGCAACTAAAACACCTTCATTGTTACAGCTGCGAGTACAAGTATTGTAACAACTCTAAACAATTACTTCTGTTACTAGCAATACTGCTGCTGCTACTCCCACAACTACTACTATTACTACTACTACTACTACTACTACTACTACTACTACTACTACTACTACTACTACGATGGTACTTTGCAAGTACGAGTGTTGTAACAACTAAACAAACAATTACTTCTAATACTACCACCGCTAATACTACTGTTTCTCCTAAAACTACTACTACTACTACTACTACTACTACTACTATGATGGTGACTACTACTACTATTACTGCAACTAAAACACATTCATTGTTACAGCTGCAAGTACCAAGTACAAGTGTTGTAACAACTAAACAATTACTTGTAATATTACTACTACTACTACTACTACTACTACTACTACTACTACTACTGCTGCTGCTGCTACTAGTATTACTACTACTATGACTGTGACTACTACTACTGCTACTACTATTACTGCAACTAAAACACTTTCACTGTTACGGCTGCAAGTGCAAGCGTTGTAACAACTAAACAATTACTTCTAATACTACCACTTACTCCTAATCCTGCTACTACTAATACTACTACTACTCCTACTCCTGCAGTGCCTTCAGAGGCTTTTGGAGACGTGTGTATGATTTGTGTCTGATGTGCAGGTGGGCTGGAGCAGGGCAAATTCCTTCAGGAGATGGTATCACTTTAAGACACGTGGGGGAGTTTGGGGCCTTCTCTAAAGCCCCACTGTGTCACTTTCCTGGCGGAGGGTGCGCTACCTGCCCGTCTCTGTGGAGTTGTTGTAGTTTTGGTTGAAATGTTCCGCAGTGTGGCGTTATCTGTGCAGCATGGCGTTGTCGTCGTGGTCTCAAGTGTGGTGAAGGTCTGCAGGGCTTGTTCGAGGTTTGATGGATGACAACGGTCACATTCTTGTTTGAGGAATGACTCTAGAAAGAACAGAGCTACAGGGGTGAAAAAGAGAGAGGAGAGAGGGAGGGAGGGATGAAGGGAGGGATGAAGGGAGGGATGAAGGGAGGGGGAGAGAGATGAACAGAGAAGAGAGAAGAGACATCATGGGTTAAAAAGGGAAGGTTGATTTTATTGCAAAGAACAGGAATCTGTGTGTCAAAATGTCATAATTACACAAGCTGAATGAGACTAAACCAGGACTAAACCAGGACTAAACCAGGTCTAAACCATGACTAAACCAGGACTAAACCAGGTCTAAACCAGGACTAAACCAGGACTAAACCAGGTCTAAACCAGGACTAAACCAGGAATAAACCAGGTCTAAACCAGGACTAAACCAGGTCTAAACCAGGACTAAACCAGGTCTAAACCAGGACTAAACCAGGAACTAAACCAGGACTAAACCAGGACTAAACCAGGTCTAAACCAGGACTAAACCAGAACTAAACCAGGACTAAACCAGGTCTAAACCAGGTCTAAACCAGGACTAAACCAGAACTAAACCAGGACTAAACCAAGTCTAAACTAAGTCTAAACCAGGACTAAACCAGGTCTAAACAAGGACTAAACCAGGTCTAAACCAGGACTAAACCAAGACTAAATCAGGTCTAAACCAGACCTAAAGCAGGACAACCAAGTATAAACGGACTATAAAAGGACAAAACCAAGGTATAATCAGATATAAACCTGGTATAAACTGGGATTAAACCAGAACTAAACCAGGACTAAACCAGAACTAAACCAGGACTAAATCAGAACTAAACCAAATCTAAAGCAGGACAAACAGATCTAAATCAGAACTAAACAAGGACTGACCCAAGTCTAACCCAAGTATAAATCAGGACTAAAGCAGGATTAAACCAAGTCCAAATTGTCTCTAAAATGGATGAAACCAGGACTAAGCTCCAAACCTCTTGGCGTTTTGGTCCGATCCTCCTCCACCGCACTCATTCTACCATACACATACATGCACAACACCCCCGCGCGGTGTCACTGCAAAGTCTCACTAATCGTCATATCTAAACTAAAGTTATTAAAAGTCTAAAATATTAGTTTAGACGTATTATGCCAGCACAAGAATGAAAGTGAAAACTGTGTAACCGATTTATCTTGTACCTTCTAGAGAGTTCTGTGGCTCTACTTTACACTGTATTGTGGATAAAACCTGAATTATTGTGAAATCTATGCATTTGAAATAATAGACAAGCGTATTTTAGTACAGAGAGGGGAGATAGCTACTGTGTCATCATTTTTATGCCTTTTATTTTGTTATTTCTAATTCATTTTGATGTTAAACGTACTAATATATGCAAAATACAAGGGGAGAATGAATTACAATCACCTTTTACACACGTTACAGATGTTTCTTGATGTCATTTTAAGTCTTTCTCAGTCAGTTGTCCTGGTGTTTACCTACATCTTGTGAATAGCTTGTTTTTAATCATTGTGAATTCACTCTATGCATAAATACAAGAGGGGATTTGTTAAAGAGGGGGTATTACACTTTTGACTTAACATTATTATACTAGAAATGCGTTAGTAGGTAGTCCGGCCACAGCCAAATCACCGTTCTGTATCACTGCTCTGCTGCCATCGCCATAAAATCACCATAGCAACAGGTAAACAATGCTCAGCCGCTGTGGGTCGTAGCGCCACTCTGCTGCGTGTCGTGGTGTTCTACGATAAAACTGCACGATGCACGGCTCCTCATTATTTAAAGGGATAGTTCGGGTTTTTTGACATGCATCTGTACGTCATCCCCGTCAGCAATGTCGTGCATCCACACTGACTTACCCCCGAAAGCGCCCACTGAGCCGAGATACTGGTCAGTTTCGGTGCTGACGAAAGTAGTCCAGCAAGTTGGCTGGGGACATTAAAGTAAAGTGATTTTCTTCTCAAAACAATATGTGTTCAAAAGAGTGATAAGTTTGCATCACAAAACCATCGTCCTCAAAAAAGTCAGACCTCATAATTGCTTGGCACAAAAAAAAAAAAAACTGTCCCTATAACGTTTACGTACAGACAGAGGTGGGACTTGGAGTTCGAGTCAGACTTGAGCCACTATTTTTAGGACTTGTGACTTGACTTGATAAAATGGACAAAGAATTGGGACTTGACTTGGCCTTGAGCCCTGTAATTTCAGAGCATTTGATGCTTCTCCTAAAAATAAATATGTTTTTAGAAAATACTTTTGTCTATACAGTTGATAAATGCGGCACTGAATTTTACAGAAACAAACTGGAACATGTTGCTCCCACTTCTGTTTGTTACTTTAGATGGAACTGAAGTACTGTGATGTGGTATCCTCAAATGTACTACAGTATATACCAGGGGTGGGCAAACTACGGCCAGGGGGCCATATGCGGCCCTTTAATCTTTAGTCTTGCCCGCTGAACTTGAATAATAATAATAATTTTCCGTGTTTTAAAAGTAATTTCAATAAATAGTAAATATCATGGGACTTGAAAGACACATATTTATATATTGTGATGCTTTGTAATTTTCATTTATGGATAGTTCAATAACATGGGATATGTTTCCTACTTACCCCATGTTATTTTTTTCACTTATGAGGTGGATTACAGCAAACTCCATCCATCTGCTCCTGGTCCAGCACTTTTGTCAAATTTTAGAACCTTTTGTTGCCCACGAGTCAAAAAGTTTGCCCAGCCCTGGTATATACAGTACAACAGAGGAAAACAGACGGAACTACATAGAACATGATCCTTAAATTTCAGTGCAGACACATGAAAAAGTAACTGTTATTAAGCATTAATCTGAATTCTTTATTTTCTATTTCTATTTCTATTCTGTAATGATTCACACTAAGATCTTGACAAGACCTTTAAAAAGGACAAATTTGCATATCTACAACTCTTATATAAATATATATAATAAAAGTATAAATATACCTTGACATTTTAAGTACATTTGATCTTAAAAGTCCTTTAAATGGCAAAAATCTAAAGTTTTGAAGCTCAAGGCAGACAACTTGGACTTGACTTGGACTTGCCTGTTTTTGACTTCAGACTTGAGACTTACTTGAGACTTGCAAAACAACAACTTGGTCCCAACTCTGCATCACCCTGTTATGTTAGGTTTTGAAAATGATATATTCACCCCAAAACAATGCATCAACATCATTTATAAGTGTCACTTTTGATTTTTGACACTCTCCTCTCCCTTTGCTCTGTACGCTAAGTCACTCCCACTTCTGAGCTCCATCACAACACAGTCAGCGGGCGTGAAACGACTGCACATCGCGTCAGATTTGTCAAGTTGTAGTGTACAGTTTTGTATCATGTCAATTTATGGAGAACTGAGGGAGTATGAGTGATGTGGACTTGTGGGCGGAGCCTTGTACAGAATCTTACAGCTAAAGTAAGGAGGGTTTGAACATAAAACTATAATATCCATTGTTTTGAATAGAGTCTGTGAGAGATCGCTAAATTACTCAGACATGCACAGATGACATCTAAAACTTCGATTTTGCATAATACCCCCTCTTTAAATAGAAGTTTAGTTTTATTTTCAGGCATCTAGGTCTAACAGATCTGTTTTATTTTTAGATGCTGTTAAACGTAGAAATTTGACCAAAGACGTTTATTAGTTATTAGACATTTTTTGGGTTTATGTTTCTCTGAATTCACACTTTTCTAAATGTAATTTCTTTAGTATCAATAAAGCATTTTTAAAACATCAACACTAGCTGCTTCTGGTATTTTTTTGTTTTGTTTTGTCATTTTGTTTCTTAGTACAGATAGAAGACCACACAAGAACAGAAAAGAAGAAGAAGAAAAGAAAAGAAAAGAAGTTATCATCATGGTATTGGAATCAGTATTGAGTATTGAGTCTATTCCTGAATATTCTTTGTAAAATATGATACAGAAAGGTTATTATAGGTTATTTTATATTAGTACTTTTTGATTTGACAAGTATAAAGTGTTTTTTATCATGGGTGTAAACTTATTTACATTCAGAATAGAATTTTGGTTGGACAATATAGAATAGATGTGTCTTTTGAAACAGTGAGTAATAATGGAAAAAGAGAAGTAAATTAAAAGGAGGTTGTGTTTTTATCTACTACTTCATTATAATTAAATAAATACACATTGTCATTATTGTTTATTCAAGTTTATATTGATGGCAGTCACAAAAATCAGCTGGGGCCATCCCTGGATAATTAAAATAACTTGAATTAAATTGGCTAATACAGTATTTATTTTACTAATTAAAGCCAGTGGCCTAATAATAATAATTGTCTTTCTATTTGTGTTCACATAGTCAAATATTCTATACAATAATAGAGTTTATATATATATATATATATAAAAAAAAAAAAATGTGTTTCTCACCTTCCACGGTGGTTGGTCTCTCACCCTCATTCAGCTCGGGTCGTCTACCAGAGGCCTGGGAGCTTGACAGTTCTGCGCAGTATCTTTGCTGTTCCCAGTACTGCACTTTTCTGGACTGAGATGTTCCATTGTTTTTCCCGGTATCTGTTGAAGCCTCTTCCAGTTTGGGGGTTACAGCCCCGAGTGTCCGATCACCACAGGCACCACTGATGCCTTTACTTTCCAGGCTCTCTCCAGCTCTTCCTTGAGCCCCTGGTATTTCTCTAGCTTCTCGTGTTCCTTTTTCCTGATATTACCATCGCTTGGTATTGCGATGTCCACCACCACGGCTCTGCTCTGTTTCTTATCCACCACCACTATGTCTGGTTGGTTCGCCATCACCATTCTGTCAGTCTGTATCTGGAAGTCCCACAGGATCTTGGCTCGGTCATTCTCCACAACCTTTGGAGGTGTTTCCCACCTTGATCCTGGGGTCTCCAGCCCGTACTCTGCACAGATGTTTCTGTACACTCTGCCCGCCACTTGGTTATGTCGCTCCATGTATGCTTTCCCTGCCAGCATCTTACACACCCCGCAGTTATGTGCTGGACTGTCTCAGGAGCCTCTTTGCACAGTCTACACCGTGGGTCTTGTCTGGTGTGGTAGATCTGGGCCTCTATTGCTCGAGTGCCCAGGGCCTGCTCCTGAGCAGCCAGGATCAGTGCCTCTGTGCTGTCCTTCAGACCAGCCCTCTCAAGCCATTGGTAGGATTTCTTGATATCAGCCACTTCAGTTATGTTCCGGTGGTACGCCCCATGTAGGGGTTTGTCCTGCCATGATGGTCCCTCCAGCACCTCTTCCTCTGGACCCCACTGTCTGAGACATTCTCTGAGCACCTCATCTGCCGGGGCCTTGTCCTTGATGTACTCAAGGAGCTTGGATGTTTCATCCTGGACAGTGGTTCCCACACTCACTAGTCCTCGGCCCCCTTCCTTCCGGCCTGCGTACAGTCTCAGGGTGCTGGATTTGGGATGGAACCCTCCATGCAGGTCAGGAGCTTTCGTGTCTTAACATCTGTGGTCTGTATCTCCTCCTTTGGCCAGCTTACAATCCCTGCAGGGTATCTGATCACTGGCAGGGCGTAGCTGTTGATTGCCTGCACCTTGTTCTTGCCATTGAGCTGGCTTCTAAGGACTTGCCTCACTCTTTGCAGGTATTTGGCCGTAGCCGCTTTCCTTGTTGCCTCTTCGAGGTTGCCATTTGCTTGTGGGATACCAAGGTACTTGTAACTGTCCTCAACGTCTGCTATTGTTCCCTCTGGGAGTGACACCCCCTCTGTGTGTTCTACCTTCCCTCTCTTTGTCACCATCCTGCTACATTTCTCAAGCCCGAATGACATCCCAATGTCTGTGCTGTAGATCCTTGTGCTGTGGATCAGTGAGTCAATGTCTCGCTCACTCTTAGCGTACAGCTTGATGTCATCCATGTAGAGGAGGTGACTGGTGGTGGCCCCGTTTCTGAGTCGGTATCCATAGCCAGTGCGGTCGATTATTTGGCTGAGAGGGTTCAGGCCTATGCAGAACAGTAGTGGGGACAGTGAGTCTCCTTGGTATATGCCACATTTGATGGACACATGTGCAAGTGGCTTCCCCTTGGCTTCAAGGGTGGTTTTCCACAACCGCATTCGAGTTCGCAATGAACGCCCTTAGAGTCCTGTTGATATTGTACAGCTTCAAGCACTCAGTGATCCATGTGTGTGGCATTGAGTCGTAGGCTTTCTTGTAATCAATCCAGGCAGTGCACAGGTTGGTCTTACGGGTTCTGCAGTCGCGGGCGACTGTTCGGTCAACCAGGAGTTGGTGTTTGGCTCCCCTGGTGTTTTTGCCGATACCCTTCTGTGCTGCACTCATGTATTGATTCATGTGCCCACTTATCTTAGCCGCAATGATGCCTGACATGAGCTTCCATGTTGTGGAGAGACAGGTTATTGGCCGATAGTTGGATCTCCCTTTGAGGGATCCTTTAGGATCAGGATCGTACGCCCTTGGGTTAACCATTCAGGGTGAGTCCCATCCCTTAGAAGCTGGTTCATCTGTGCTGCCAGGCGCTCGTGGAGGGCAGTGAGCTTCTTTAGCCAGTACGCATGGATCATGTCAGGGCCCGGTGCCTATATATATATATATATATATATATATAGATAGATAGATAGATATAGATATAGATTTCATTTTCACAGACACAATCAAAAAACTCAAAAGTCCCAAAACCAGCCCATCTATTCAGCCATAAATATACTTTCTCAGTTTATTTTTATATCTTAATTATTTTTTCTGTACTTCAACTTCCGTAAACAGTCCGCATGGTTTGTTGGTCTTTAGCGCCCTCCTGTGTTTTTATTCATAACACTTATTTTAGCATTGTTTCAAACCACCGCATGTGTTTCGTTTTAATTATCGTCTTGTTTAACACTTATCTGCACAATAATGTCAATATGATATATATTTTTATAATCTATCAAAGGATTTCAGCTATTTCAAAAATGGTCCGCTTGCCCTTTAAATTACGTCACTGCACCATACTGAAGAATGGAGTCACGGTGGCCGAGAGGTTAAGGCGTTGGACTCGAAATCCAATGGGGTTTCCCCGCACAGGTTCGAATCCTGTTCGTGACGATAAACTTTTTCACTTTTTATCTTGACCAAACACGAACGACAATCCACTAAACCCCTGTTGAATGTATAAACTTACATGAGTATTTAAAATGTACTGTCCAAACGTCTTGATTTATTTGTATTAGAGGTGTATTATTTACTTTTTATGCTAATTCATCTGTTTCAACTTTTTATGTTGTGGCATTTGAATGAGCATGTTTCTAAACACAGATATAGGCAAATATTTATAATATCTGTTATTGGAATTGACATAAAATAATGTAAATGTGACGTTTATAAAATTTACGAGCCTCCTTGTGGTAATCTCGCGAGTTCTGCGTTTTCCCCGAGGTGTTGACGTGGACTGGACTTCCAATAAAAACATGTTTTATTTAAGGGATTTACTGTTATTATTTCTATTCTGTATTTTGAGTACATCTAACAGGTTTATAAATCTGACCAAAATTATTTGTTAAAACCAAATAACTCATAAAAAAGCGACAAACATAAACTTACATCCCTCATTTGTGGCGCATAGTGGTACAGTCCGAATCCTATAAAATGACCCGGCAGCCGCTGCTGACGTAGATTCTGTCCTGTTGTGGAAGCGTGGGAAACTATTCATGTATTTTGATACGAATTTTACAGTGGTTTTAGGCCTTTGAGCGGTTATCAAAGCGCAGGCCTCGGGGATTATTAGCCAATACTGAGATAGCAGCAGTATTCAGGCCGAACGAGGCTGGGATATTTGTAAAAAGCAGTTTAAGAAGCTGCCCGGCTAATAATAGTTGGTGGTTAGCAGTTAGCGGCTAGTGAAGCTACACAAAAGGAATGCGGGTTTTGGCATTGAAAATACAATCAAACTAAACCGAACCGCCGGAGGTATAACTGCACATCTCTGCCCAAAGGGATATTTAGCTGAAACTTTAGATTTATACTCGTTTATGATCTTAAGCAGGCATTTTACAGATCCAGATAGTCCTGATTTTGGGCTCTTGTCTGCTCTAAACGTGATATCAACGCTTTAAAAGGAAATGAAGCGACTAATAAGGACTTAAATCACAAAATGGAGCTGGACTGGCACAGAAGTCTCGCTAAAAGAGGAAGCTAACACGACGCCTGCTCATTTTCATGTTGGATATTGTGATTAAACCTTGCTGTGGTCCTATGAGGCGAGGCTTTACGTGCACATTGAGTGAAAAAGTGCGTTAAAATTTGGCTCAAAGCTGAAGATTCTTGGACATTTCCCTCTTGAGAAGACGCGAATTGCTGTTGTAATCTTAAAACATGGCAGCCCCCGCAAACGAGGCCTTATTTCTCATAAAGGACGTGAAGCCCGGATCTAAAAATCTCAATATAGTGTTCATTGTTTTGGAAATAGGTGAGTAGCAGCTGTGTCACTGTCACAACATCTGTACTAACCAGACTGTCAATCATTTACTGCAGATTTTATCAACAAAGTACATTCCAACCTGAATAACTATTGATCATTTATTTACTAAAACAAAGGTGTAATAGACAGAGAGGAAGCTGCTTTTTTATTTTATTTTTTTTATTTTTTTGTCCATATTAAAGATGAAAAAGAACTGCACAGTCTTAGTTTTTTTGTACTTTTGAGAAGTGCAGACTAAATTAATATCTTGCAAAAAGCATTTACAATCGAGTTAAAATTTCTAAAGCATTTTCAAATAGACATTCAAATTTTTTGGCATTTATTAATATTTAATTAACAGTTTTTGTCAATAATTTACCAATAAAAATCTAAAAAAAGCTGCAAAATTGTGATGATGGGAAAATTTATTTCAGTTGCATCATATTTAAACATTTCTGGGGGACCTGCTTGTCTCCGTGGAAATGCTATTTCTTTGTCTAGAATGCTTTTGAGCAATATGTTTAATGTCGTATCATGGAACATTCCTGGCAAAGCGCTAACATCTCCATGATGACAAGTCTGTAGGCGACGCTCCCCCCAGAAAAGTTGAACAGTGCACCTTTTAAAACAGCATTTCAAACCCTGCTTTATTCATATTCCTCTGACAACGTATTAACTCCTCGATCTTGTGTTTGTTCCGTTCCAGGCCGAGTGACCAAAACTAAAGATGGACACGAGGTGCGCTCTTGTAAAGTGGCTGATAAAAGTGGAAGCATCGCTATTTCTGTTTGGGACGAGCTCGGGAGCCTCATCCAACCCGGAGACATCATCAAACTCACCAGAGGGTAACGCTTCATTTACTGTAGTACCCAAAACATACGCAATAGGTCAAATCCTCCAGCTAAGTTAGTCCTGACCAAGACTAGAGACCCAGATCTGGAGAAGGGTCCCACTGTTTAACCCAGAGACACTGAAGGATGGGTCAAATGCAGAGGACACATTCCCCTGTGGGAACAATAAATTGTACCTTAATATTAATATTATAATACACCTATCTAAACTTGTGATTCGTCATTAAAAGTGGACTGTGTAATGTTTCAGTAGGGAGTCAGCCATAGAAATGTTAGTGCTTCAAACCTGTTTTATCTGCATTTATTGAATTAAAGTTGATTTTTTTTGATGAAAAAACATAGAAAAACATGCATTCTTAGTGTGAGGGGACTCGCCTCTCCAAGGATCTGACCTGTAACTTGGCCTGATCATTTCATATTCCATGGAGATTGATACATTTAATGCTGTAGTACTGTAGAACATTTCAGGCAACACTTTTAAGCATCTCCATGGAGGTGACAGAGCAGCAGATTTGTGCCAGTGGACTTTTTAAATACAACTCCACGCTGACTTAAAGCTGCACTAAAAATAAAATGTACAAATCAGTCTCACTTGTAATGGGTGATCTGACAAATAAAAATAAGTCTTGTTGTTCATGTTGTGGCACTTGAGGTCAAAGCAGTTTCTCTGACTGAGGTTCACGAGGACTTCCAGGTGGGACTTGCGGAGCTCTTCAGTTTGTTGGTTTGACTCACTCGTTTACTTTATCCATTTTTCCGTCCTCTTTTGAATCATTTCTGGTTTAGAACTACAGTGTAGTACTTGAACGCCAAATCTTTTCTTTGGTGGGATTGGTGTTAAAAGTTTGAGAGCCACTGGGAGAAAGTTGAGTTCATTTTCACTTGTAGCTCGTAAATGCCACTGAACTGAACTGACCTGACCTGACTCGTACGGCCACAGAGACCTGGCTGCACAAACATCTCAGAGTCATAAATCCGTGTGTTTTTCAGGTACGCGTCGCTGTGGAAAGGCTGTCTCACACTGTACACAGGGAGAGGGGGAGACCTGCAGAAGATTGGAGAGTGAGTCACCTTCTGTTTGGGCAGCATTTTGTGAAAAACTGCACTTTTACACAGGCAGCTGTCATTCGATTTGCAACACGTGATTAAATAACAGGAGACTGTTCAGAGGAAACCAGGACTGAAGGTTTACTGGAATTATTCTGACAGTCTTTGCGATAAACACTTTCAGGAAAAAATACATTAGATTGCAAAACTATTGTGTATTACTTTGTCACTTCATATTGCAAAGAATACATCTGTACAGATATGTTCTGAAATGTTGAACTGCAGGGTTAGCAGTGTGATACACAATAAGGCAAGAGATTTTGTTGTTTGAATGGACACAATTAGCAAATCGCAAAGACCGCAATTTTTGAAGTACCAATTTACTCCACAAATAGCGATTAGATTTTGATTCAGTTGCAGCCCTGTAGACCTTTATTACAACGGCCGGAAGTGTTGCGATGTAGGGTAAACGTTACTTACTTTATTGCTTTTCTCTGGTAAAATATCTGTGTAAATGTGTATCGTTTTCTTTAGCAGCTTCATAAATCTGCCCCATCACCAAATCTTCAACCAACAAACTCCACAAAGGATAAACATTCTAATATGAACAATTTATCCACAACTATCAAGAGAAGAAAGAACAAAACTTAAAGGAAACAACGACCACACATTAGTGACACACTGAACAAAACTAATGTTATGGTCATGAATAAAACAGGAGGAACTTGTTCACTCAGACTGATTCTGCAATTAAAATTAAAAATAGATTTCATGATGTAGATATTGGCATAGAGCATTTAAATTGCACAAATCTGTCTATCTATGCTGATATCTAGATCATGAAATCTATTTTTACCTTTTAATTGTAAAGTCAGTCTGAGTTCACAAGTTACTTATTAACAAATGACTTATTACTTGTTTTATTCATGACCATAAATTTTGTTCAGTGTGTGACTAATACGTTGTCGTTGTTCTCCTTTCTTCTTTTGATAAAAAAATAAATAAATTCAAAATTGTGGATAAATTCTTCATTCTTCAGATTTATGAAGCTGGTGGAAAATACGTGAGACATTTCCACCACAGAAAACCATTAACTGGAACTCCCGCAAACCTACAGCGGGGCACTTCCGGCCGTTGTGAAAAAGGTCTATTGTAAACACCTCCCAGGAGAATTCACTTTTGAGAGAAGACTAAATTATGAAACTATGAAACAAGACGCCAGTTTCAGAACAGGTTTGTAGAGGTTTACATTCATTTCCATCTCCAGTCCCTTTTGACCTTCTCTTAACTAAATAAATGCAGCCTTTGCCATGTGTTAATTGATTAGATTGTGTTACGTTGTGCAGCCTTATTCTACACAAGTTTTCATCATTATTTTGACGGTGCTGTGCTTTGTGCTTTGTGCCTTGTGTAGGTTCTGCATGGTGTATTCTGAAGTGCCCAACTTCAGTGAACCAAACCCAGAGCTGCTGGCCCAGGCCAACCAGCAGAACAAACCAGTGAGTGTAACACAAGTGGACAGAAATAATGCAGTTGTTTCTATTATCTATCTATTATCACCACTTTAACACTTTACAATCCAGGCCCCTGCTCTTTAGTGACGTTTGTCTTTTGTCTCAGGGCAAACCGGACCAGAACCAGAACCAGAGAGGAAACTCTCCTCCCAACCAGAACTCAGGTACAACTGCTCCGCCAGGTAAGTCGCTGCCCCTTTCTGCTCTTGTCTGTTTCTTTGGCTCTGCTTCTCTGTCTTTGGCTCCTCTGGCTCTGCTCCTTTGTCTCTGGCTCTGTTGTCTCCTGCTCCTCTGGCTCCTCTGGCTCTGCTCTCTGCCTACTAAAGATTAGATGTCAGGTTATTTATTTATAAAAATGACAGTTGATATATAAACATTTCCCCTCTGGAGTCCTGGAGCAGGTTTAGACAGAGGACATGTCCATGCTCATGAGCACATCAAATGCCCCTTTTACACAGTAGCACCTCAGTCAACAAGTCAGCAGTGGAAATAACCTCCACTAGAAAAGTTACACACTTGTGCTTGTGTCTGTTCTCTAGTTATAATACATCACACCTGTCATCACAACAAGGTGCAAACAAATTCCTACATGTGTCACTGTTTTAAGAACATGGTGGGAGGAAGTGCACACGTACAGTCGTGGTGAAAACTGGAGTTTATCAGCAAAAATGGGGTCTTGAAAATAAGTAATTTAAAGACTGAAAAACTGATTGGCAGAATAGTTCTGCTAATTTAATTTAATTTAATTTAATTGAACAAAATGTTCTCACATCAGACCTGTACTTTTATTATTTAAATTCACATCACTAGCTCCTCTACTCTCTCTGCAGGTAATGGTGCCATGACGTCCTTCTCCACAGGGGGCGCTGCTCCTCCCGCTGCGGCCGGGGGCTTTGGGACGTCTCGTCCGAACGGTCGCGCTCCCGGGAACAATGGTTCCACCCAGAGCTCGGTGACAGGACTGCCCCAAAACCCTGGCTCCAAATCCTCTGTGTCCATCAGCAACGGCAGAGACCCCCGGCGAGCTAAGAGATGAGAGCTGCCACTGCTGTGCCAACCTGCCCCGGGGCAGACACAGGGCCAACACGCCGCCAGCGCACAAAACCACATACAGCTCACAGGCCTGTCACGATAACAGTCTGAAGCACGATATAATGCTACAGAAAAGTGTCCCAATAAACGATAATGGAGCCAAGTGACCGCCAAAAACGATGGATATTAAAAGTGTGAAAGGTGAGGGCGGATCAGCTCTGTGCCCACAAGACCCAGACTATATTTAAAGAGGGGGTCTTATGCAAAATTGTTCTTTTTTTTGAGCTCTATCATGTTTCTACCACGTTTCCTCATCACAAACCCACCCAAAGAGGTTTTAGATGTCGTCCATGCATGTTTGAGTAATCTAGTGATCTCTCCTGGAGCTTATTCAGCACTCCAACTGCGCTTCAAAAACTAAAGTGAAACATAAAGGGTAGCCTGGCGATCTAAATGTCTTGTGTAAGCAGTTAATACCCCCTCTTTAACTCTACAAAAAGTAACACATCTGGAAAAACGCTGACTAACTTAAAGCGTTTCAAAGTGGATAGAGTCATTATCGTGACAGGCCTGAATCATATCAACAGTAGTTAGGTTTCTGCAGGGCTGGGTGATAAAGTCAATGATTTTTTTTTTTACGCATTAGTCTAAAAAAACTACAAACATGACTGCCGATGTTCTTGTGAACTGTGCCAAATGACCTGAAATAGATTAGAGTCATTTTGAGATGACATTGTATTCTGGACACATCCTCATTATTTGAAAATATTCCGTTTTCAGTTTAATTGTATGTTTTTTTTTGTTTTTTTTTTTTATTTCTTGGCCTTTGCGATTAGATTTGAGAGTCCACATCTCCTGACCTGTAAACTAATCTCAGAATCCTGTGCATTTCAGAACACATTTGTAGAGATCTAACTATTAGACTATAATTTATTTTTCACATGTACGAAAGTTGAAAAAATCACATTGCCAACTGTATTAAGTCTTTAGAATCTTGTTTAAAATATCCAATTAAACCTGACACTTCATTTAAGATACTTTCTGAGCTACTATGAGCAGCCACTTCTCTTTGAAATTGCCTCAAGGCAGATGTGGCACAGAAAAAGACTTTATTTCAGTTAATTTTAGTTAAAGGTCCTATATTCTGCAAAAGTGACTCTTGTGAGCTTTAAGTCACATTCGAATGCTGTTACCTTCTCAAAAACACACCTGGAGTTGTTTTGTTTCATTGACATGTTTGAGTAACACTTTATTATTAGTCTGTCTACATCTCCAAAGCTCCAAATGCTCTGTTCCACCTTGTGATGTCATATAGTGGTAGTTTTCAAGTTAACAGCTCCATTTACCTTGAGTTTAGCCTGAAACAGAGGCGTGACACATGTGAGAAAAAAATAACGGTCCACATGTGTACACATCTGCAGCAGGACTGATGTAGAAGTCATGTTGCCATTTTGACAACCTACTCATAGTTTGGAGCGTCAACTTTTTTGCCACGTGTACACGTGTGGACCATTTCTTCTCACGTACACTTGAGTAGCTCGGGTCTCCTCCCGTACGTCACGTGGACTGTGTAAAAACAGGACTAAAACAAGGACTCAAACCAGGATTAAAACCAGCCTTAAAATCAGGTCAGAACTAGGATTAAACTAAGATCTAAACCAGGACTGAATCTAGGTCTAAACCAGGACTAAATCTTGGTCTAAGCCAGTACTAAACCAGGACTGAACCTAGGTCTAAACCAGGACTAAATCTACATCTAAGCCAGGACTAAACCAGGACTAAATCTAGGTCTAAACCAGGACTGAACCAGAATTAAATCTAGGTCTGAACCAGGACTAAACCAGGACTAAAGCTAGGTCTAAACCAGGACTAAATCTAGGTCTAAGCCATGACTAAACCAAGGTCTAAACCAGGACTAAACCAGGACTAAACCAGGACTAAACCAGGACTAAACCAGGACTAAACCAGGACTAAACCAAGGACTAAACCAGGCCGTGCAGAGTGGGTGGGGTTCTCGGCTCGGCTGTTTTTACCTACTCTTAGGAGTGTCGCACATTCACCCACAGTTTGAAAACCCCTGGTCTGAAATGATTCCAGTGATTCTCATGAAGGTGCAGTTTAAAAACAATGGAACACTTCCTGTATTACCACATGACATCACGAGGTGGTCACCGGGTTTGTTTGTGACGAGGAAACTCCAGTAGAACACACAGTAGATCAGGAAATGGTGTCATGCAGGCCCTTTAACCTGATTAAGCTCCTGTTTTTAGTCATTTACTTCTTGTAATTATGAAATTCTTGGACAAAAACAAACAACCTGAACTGGGAGTCGCAGCCACTTCTCTGTGAAACTGCGTCAGGGCAGAACATTTGAGTAGTAGTAGTTTTTAGTCTTCTCTTGAGTCTTTCACACAAATGTATGGACAAAACTTTACATTTTAACAGCCTATTTATTACCCAGCCCTCTGACAAATTGCACACAGTTGTGGTTTGAAATCCAGGGATCAAAATTCCGTCTTTTCGTTCTTCACAAACCGTTTGGTGCCAGCGTTGCCTACCCGTCTCCTCCTCTCCGTCGCCATGTTAGAAACGACACACCCGACGTGACCCGGAACACTCGCGCACTTTGTTTTCATAAGTCAAATGAGCAAACGTTTTCATCTGAAGTGACTGAAAAAGGGTGTGAAAAGGAAGAAGATGGAGGAGGACATTTTTGCGTCTTTTTTTTTTTTTTGGATGTAGGTTGTATGTTTTATCAAGGAGGGACCACTCAAAACGGCCTAATAAAGTTGAAATGGGGGAAGACGATTACGGAGAAACAGACAGGAGCAAAGAGGCGGGGACTAGACCGGGAGTAAACTTTCAGGCCAAGTACTTGTTAGATTGAGGAAAAGTAGGCTCAAGTCAGAACTAAACCAGGACTACACCCATGTTAAGTATCATAAAAGCTGTATAAACCAGGACTAAAACAGGTCTGGATCTGGATTAGACCAGGATTTAACCAGAACTAGACTGGGACTTGGTCTTTAAGATTAGGTCAGAACTAAATCTGGACTAAACTGGACCAGGATCTAAACTAGGACTAACACATGTATTTGTTTCATAGAAGAGACCAAGACTAAACCAGGACCGGACCAGACCAGGACTTGGTCTTCAGTGCAAGTGCTTGTTCCACAGAAGAAAAGTAAGATTAGGTCAGGACTAAACCCAGACTAAATCAGGACTTAACCAGAACAAGGACTAGACCCATATAAGATCTGAAATAAAAGCTGTATGAACCAAGTCTAAACCAGGTCTGGACCAGGACTAGACCAGGACTTTGAGAGCAAGTGCTTGTTCCTTGGAAGAAAAGTAAGATCAAGTCAGGACTAAACCTAGACCCTGGTCCAGTTTAGTCCAAACTAGGACTAGACTAGGACTAACTCATATATTTGTTTCATAGAAGAGATCTGTGCTTGTTCCACAGAAGAAATTACTTCAGGGCTAATCCTGGACTAAAACAGGACTTGACCAGAACCAGACCAGGACTAGACCCATATAAGATCTGAAATAAAAGCTGTATAAACCAAGTCTAAACCAGAATTGGACCAGGACCAGACCAGGAATTTTAGAGCAAGTGCTTATTCCATAAAAGAAATTTAAGATTAAGACAGGACTAAACCAGGACTGGCCCAGGTCTACTAAACATTTAATGCATCCTTGTTATCAATAGAAGTAACCAGGACTAAACAAGGACTAGACTTGGACTAACTCATCATGTTAGTATTTGTTTCACAGAAGAGATCAGAACTGGATCATGTCTGAAATAAAAAACAAACAAACTGTAAACCAGGACTAGTGCAAGTACTGGACCAGGACTAAACCAAATTCAGACCAGATTTTACACTCAGTACAAGTTTTAAGGTCATATTATTGACATTGACTAGGCACATTAACACGGACTCTAGCGCCCCCCTCTGGTTTGCTCCTGTGTGCTTCTGCTCCAATCAATCTGTGCAAATAAACTTCACTTTTCACTGTGTCTGTCTTCAAAAATGTCAAATATCGAGATTGGTTTTGTCCGATTGTGTTGTTGACTCGTTTTCTTCGCAGGTGAAAGTGAAATCTAAGCATCCACACACACTTTGAAACACAACACAACTAAAATAATAAAAATAAAAAGTCCCTGAACTCCCGAGTGTCCAACAGTGTCCGCCATTTAACGGCCCTGTAGCGCCATCCAGTGCATAAAATAGGACACTGCAGTCAGTAAGATGGTGGCCCAAGCACACAGACAAAACGACTGAATCACATCCTAGTTAAAGGATGACAGGAACATTACAGAAATCTGACTCCAGTAGTTCATAGTGTTTTTAAACTGGGAATAAAATGTGGCTGGATTTGGATGAGGACTGAACTGAAACTGGCTTTTATTTGGACTTGAATTGAACAGTGTTGTAATTAATCTAAAGATGAAGAGTGAAGACTGAAACTGAGATTGTGTGTTTGTTAGGGAGTGACAGGAGCACTGACAGACAGTTGCACAAGTAGAGGAGCACTGACAGGTGCACAAGCAGAGGAGCAGACAGGTGCACAGACAGAACAGACAGACAGAAGCACTGACAGGAGCACACACAGAAGCACAGACAGGAGCACAGACAGAAGCACTGACAGGAGCACACACAGAAGTAATGACAGCACACACAGAAGCACTGACAGGAGCACACACAGAAGCACAGACAGAAGCACAGACAGGAGCACACACAGAAGCACACAGGAGACAGGAGCACTGACAGGAGCACTGACAGAAGCACTGACAGGAGCACACACAGAAGCACAGACAGGAGCACACACAGAAGCACAGACAGGAGCACACACAGAAGCACTGACAGGAGCACACACAGAGGCACAGACAGGAGCACACACAGAAGCACTGACAGGAGCACACAGAGACAGACAGGACAGACACAGACAGGAGCACTGACAGGAGCAGACAGAAGCACTGACAGGAGACAGACAGAGACAGGAGACAGGAGCACACACAGAAGCACTGACAGGAGCACACAGAGCACAGACAGGAGCACACAGAAGCACTGACAGGAGCACACACAGAAGCCAGACAGGAGCACTGACAGGAGCACACACAGAAGTAATGACAGGAGCACACACAGAAGTAATGACAGGAGCACTGACAGGAGCACAGACAGAGGAGACACCAGGAGACCTGAAGATCCTTAATAAATAAATTCAGATGTGTCCAGACTGAGATGGTTTGGAAATGTGCAGGAGAGAGAGAGAGAGAGTAAATATTTGTAGAGGAGAGGAGCAGAGGATGAAGAGGAGAGGGTCAGGACATGTCTTTAGTTGTCTACAGACTTATCCAATACATTTTAAATACATGTGTTTTTATGTTTAAGGTGGTTTCAGAATAATGACAGAAACACGTGTCATTATCAGACAGCAGGGGGCAGTAGATCATTTGGCACAGTGTTTGAAGGTGGAAAAGTGCGGTATGAAAATGTGACCACTGATCATGTATCCAGTGAAAAGTGCTGGAGAATTCCATTAGAGGAATTTAGTTGAAACCACATAACTTCATTTCCACTTGTAGAGACTCAGACAGACACAAAGAGAAAGTATGAGTATGAACTTTGTTGAATGAACTTTGGGGTCCGTCCATATCAAATCAGCCGTTTTCAGGGAATCTCTCCTATGAGCCATGTCAGATTTGGCAGATTCTTTTTTTTTTTTTTTTTTTAAATTCTAAAATCACCAAATGAGAGAATCTGAGAGAAATTTTAGCTCAATCCCTTCAGTGGTTTCTGAGTTATGGCCCATTGAAATTTTGAAGCTATGCCCACTTTTTTGAGAGACCATAACTTCATAAAAAAATAGAGCTAAGAAGATGAAAATGTGTATTATTGTAGATTCTGTCTTGTCAAATATTGGGTATCTTTATTAAGGGGGGCACAGTGTTTTTTTTTTTGTTTGTTTGTTTTTTTTTATTGTTGTTTTTTTTTGCTTTTGTTTTTTTTTTTTTTTGAGGTCCAAGATCTATTTACTCCAAGGAGATATTTACAAACTAACTGTTGAACCTGAATATTTGAGAGAATGACAATCCCACACTTTTCTGAGCTGATGGATGGTCACAGACCAGATTTGACCTTTTTGGCCCCTTCTTTGGCCCCTCGGTTCCCCATGTGGGCACAGACAAACATCTACTATTAACATCTCCAACGAAATTTTTGAAAATGAACTCTCACAAATCATTTTTCATCTTATGTACTTTTTCACCTGCGAGCAAGGTTAACAATAACTGAACCACTGAAGAGATTGAGCTAAAATTTTAGATTCTTTCATTTGGTAATTTTAGAAATTTTTAGAACATTTTTCAGCCAAATCTGAGATGTCTCACTGGGGAGGGCGGCTTTTGGCACTGACAGAAGATGTTGCAATGATGGGTGTGGCCGACTCTGACGTTTCGGAGATGTCTTCACCCTGGGGCCTGGACACTGGAGGTGGTAGAGGTGAGGCAGAGGGGTGGGGTGGGGGGTGAAACTTCATCATCTCCAAAAGAGGAGGAGGGTCCTGAATCGACTTGACGACCACCTGAGACAGAGCTCCATCCAGAGTCTCGTCACAGTCATCACATCTGTCCATCGTCAATAAATATCTTTATTGTACTTCATTGTTGTGGTGTGTTCCTGGTGTGTGAGGGAATTATTAGTCATGAAGAATCTAATGACTAAACAGAGAAGTGTGATAAGTTGTGTGTCAGTGGGAAATGATGAAAACAGAGGTGTGGTTGGAATTGTTGATTATCTGAATATAACAGAACTCTACAATGACATGGAGATGAACAAACCTGGACATTTTCTAACTTTTCCTATAGATTTGATCAGACTCTCAACATTGTCATCGCATCTTTGCAGACGTCTTCCTGGTTTGTGTTGTAAGTGTGAATAAAGCATATATTTTATGACACAAAAGAGAAGTTTGTATGTACATTGAGTGAAGCAGGTGTTTCATCCAAACATGGCGGGACAGTCCCAACAGCCAAAGTGCTCAGACTCTGAAGATGTCTATGTGAATATCGGTGTCATATATCGACCACATTTTCAGTATTGGACCAATACCAATATTTGACACACACGTCTTCCTGTGAAAAATAGTTAAGTAAGTCTTTATTTCGACAGTGCTTTTCACAGACATTTTCTGTCATCAAAGACACTTTCAGCACTATTCATTCAGCCACTCGATACCCTGGTGATTGTAAGCTGCTATTGTAGCCACAGCTGCCCTGGGGCACACTGACAGAAGCACAACAACAATCTCAATCAGCCACCACCATCACTCACACCACTTTCATACTAGGCAATGTGGGTGAAGTGTCTTGCCTAAGGACACAATGATTGAATTGATTGTATTTAACTGACCTTGACTATCAAGTGTTCTGGAGACCTGGAGCAGGTTTTGTGTTGATGGGGGAAGCCGGAGCACCCAGAGACACAGAGAGAAACACACAAACTCCACACAGAAAGGCCCAGGCGACCCGGGGATCAAGAACCTTCTTGCTGTGAGTCATGAGTGCTAGCCACTCAGCCACCGTGCCGCCGCACACTTCACATAAACAAGAGCATTTCTCATAATTTACTAACTACATCAGCCCAGCAAATAAGCCCTAAACAACTTATACACACACATGTAGGCCTATTCAAATGTCAAATGTCAATTAAAACTTCTCAAGAACTGAACAGAATCCAACTATATACAGTACATGTGGTACATGTGGGAATATTTAAATGTCTCAATTACATTTTGAAATTATCATTATTATTATTGTTGTTGTTGTTGTTGTTATTATGAAATTAGTGTTAATGAAGAGTTATGTAAGGCCATTTAACATTTTCAAGTGACATACAAACCTATGAAACATATTTTTCAAGTTTGTGTCCTGTGGTGCCCCCTGCTGGTTGTGAATGGTTGGTGCCATCGTGCCACTCGCCCATCTGAAGACTCCGGCCTTCCTCTGATGTCACCAGAACTGTTACAGTTACAGTCACAAGATATTGAATATTAAATTATTGTCCAACACATGACAGATGGAACAATTATGTTTTTTTTTTTTATTGTGAGGATTTTGATCTAATGTGAAACTTTTCATCATGTGCTGTGGTTGGATTTGAACTGTAAAGGTTCAACTGAAAAACTATTGTGCCTCATCACAGATACAAACTAACTACTAAAGTCTTGCATTTCTTTCTGGCACCTCATGTTCTTCTCAGGTTTGTACATTCAGAGTTTTGAGGTAATTTCTGCTTCAGGGTTTTTGTCAGTGGCAGAAGTCAGTTTCAGTTTTATTGTTTATCATCTGTATTTACTTCAACAATACTTGAGCTTTTGTTATTGTGACAGGCTGTACCCTTTGGTTTCAGGAGTGTACAGATCATGCTTCACACACACACGCACTCACATGCACACGCATACATGCACACACTCTCTCACACACACACACACACCCTGGTCTCATGTTTAAACTCTGGAGCTTGTGATTCAAACGTGAAATGAAACAGGAAACCGTCAAACTCAAGACCTGTGTGCAACAGCAGCATGTGAGACGCACTTCCTCTAAACACACACAGGGACAGTGTGGGTCACAGTACACAAACTACTGTACTACTTCACAATACAAACACTTCAAACTCCTTTTCAGTACTATGGAACAAACTTGACTCTCAATACTGACACCTCACACTCATCTGTGTGGGTTTAACATCACAGCAAATGTCTCTGTCTTGTTGTGTGATTGTGATTTGTGTTCAGTGTCATAATGTGTGTGCTGTGTGTGTGTTTAATATGTCCTAATTTTATTAATATGACTTCAGTCTTAATGTGTGTCATGTGTGATGGACTGAATGTTTTTGTGCCTATGTCCTGTTTTTGTCTTGCCATCCAGATGAAAATGGTTCCTGCACGTCAAACTCTGCACATCTACAGCCAGTGTTGGGGAGTAACAGATTACATGTACCAGAGTTACGTAATCAGAGTACAAATTATGAGTAACTGTATTCAGTTACAGTTACTGTTTCAATGAGTGGTAATTGGATTACGGTTACTTTGTTAAAATAAATGGATTACACGGTGGTATTTTTCTGTTTTCACATCACATTTTGGGCTATATCCCCCCCTTTTTTTTTCTTTTTTTTCGGTAATTCCACTCATTGCCGGAAACTAAACTAGGTCTAAACTAGATCTAAACCAGGTGTAAACCAGGTCTAAAACAGGTCTAAAACAGGTCTAATCCAGGTCTTAAACAGGTCTAAAACCAGGACTAAACCAGGCCTAAACGGGACTAAAACCAGGACTAAAACTAGGCCAAACTAGATCTAAACCAGAATTAAACTAGATCTAAACCAGGACTAAACCAGGACTAAACCAGGACTAAACCATGCAGCATGGATGTGTCTCCTCATCTTCTATCAATAATATTTTTAATTTGGTTCAGTAAAGTCTGGGCTTTTTATTTTCTTTTAGCAGATAAAACATCTTATGTGACGATTTCCTCGTCTTTGCTTCTCTACAGCAAATCAAGTAATCCAAAGTATTCAGATTACATTACTCACCAAAATAATTTAATGGATTCCGTTACAAACTACATTTTGGGGTCTGTAATCTGTAATCTGTAGGGGAATACATTTTAGAAGTAACCTTCCCAACACTGCCTACAGCTGCACTAACACATGCTGATCAATGTGCACGGTCCACATTTCATAAATAAACATAAACATGAACAGGTCGATGATAATAAAAACACTCTTTCTTAAGACAATAGAAGGTGATTTTCAGCATTATTAAGTGGTAGTATTTTCTTTTATAAGGTGAAGGTAAGTGTTTTATTGACCCTGTAGGGAAACATTTCTTCTGCATTTGGCCCAGTGGCAGTTGGAGCAGTGGAGCAGCACAGAGCTCAGGGATCCATCTCCAGAGCTTGTGGTTCGTCTTGGACAGGACTATGGCTGGAGGATTCTGATCAAGGAAATTGGAGTAATGAAAGACACAGGAAGCACATGCAAACTCCACACAGAAAGACCAGGACAACCTGGGAATTCAACCCACAACCTCCACCTCTATATGTGGCTTTATATCCGAAATGAGTATGTAGAGAGATAGTATTGATTAGAATTAGAGTTTTAATACTTTTATCGATCCCAGAAGGAAATGATTTGCAGTGGAGTAAAAGCAGTACTATGTAACTTTATTTGCAGAGTAGTAAAGTACTAAAAGTTGCACTATGTAACTTTTCTATTGTAGGTTTTGCTTGTTTCCATGGAGATGTCAATGTTTTACCTGGTATGTTCCACAGTATGACATTGGTAAATGGTCACATTTTTCTATAGCACTTTTCCACCTTCAAGGCTCAAAGCTCTTTACAACAAGGAACCACTCACCCCATTCACACACACATTCACACACAGTGTACGCAGACACTGTGGGCAAGGTGGGTTAAGTGTCTTGCCCAAGGACACAACAACAGCATTCATCTGTGGGAGCTGGAGTCAGTGGATGTTTATGTCGAGAGCTGGAATCGAACCACCAACTGAGCTACTGCTGCCCATTAAACTCATCTTCAAGACAAGACATAACTCCATCACCCCACGGTACAGGCCAGATCTGTGGGGAGGCAAGCCTAACTCCTGAATAACTGCAACTTAGATAAGTTTAAGTTAAAAAGAGCAATACCATCTCCATGGAAACAGAGGCAGGGCCCCTGACAGAAATGTGACCCGTCCTTCAGTGTCTCTGGGTTAAACCTGTATGTGACCTGATGTGACTGAACCAGGGAGCTTGTGGCTGTGGGGCGGCTGTCGTCATGGTCACAGTGCTGTTGTTGTTGTTGTGTCTCTCGTGTTTTGTTTGTTGTCATTTTGAAGTCTTTACTTTCACTTTCACATATGAGCTGTGACCAGTCTCATGACACAGTGTGACAGCTCTGTGGGACTTTTGGGAATTATAACAAAACTTTCTGTTCAACAGAATCTTAGGTTCTTTCTTTTGTTTTTGTCATTTGACTCATTTGACTGAAATGAGCGTGTCATGAACGTTTGTTAAGTATCTTTAATGAACCTCACAGAACAATAGGCAGGTCCTTATTTATGAACTTTTAAAATTATATTCTTCTGAAAATGCTCCAGCTGAGGAGAAATTTGTGGTGTTTCAAGTTTTTTGAAAATGCATTTAGATTTTTTTCTGTAGCTGATGCAATTTCAGTGTTATTCTTCATGATCATCATCTGCTCCTGTACCACACATGGTGTCAGTGAGACTCATGTTAGTCTGTCTGTGGAAGTAATTTAATGGATCACGTTACAAACTACATTTTGGGGTATGTAATCTGTAATCTGTAGGGAAATACATTTGAAAAGTAACCTTCCCAACACTGCAAGTCAGACAATGTGTGGGATTTTTCTCCTTGTCGCCTCTAATTGAGACGTGTCTTCAGCATAACATTTTCATCAATAAAATATGTTTACTGTCAGTCAATATCATGTTTTCTATCATGAGACACAAATGCATGTCTGTTGAGTGAACAGGAGATTATGTTGTAAAATGTGACTCTTTAATTGTGTTTCCTTCAGGACTTCAGCAGGAATAAAGCCACAATGACAGAAACTTCAAGGTCTTTGAGATCCTTTAAATATGCATGCAATTTTGTGAAACTTTTTTATTAAATGCTAAATATGTAGGGGGTTAGAGAGAGAAATGTTTAACTTATATATATTTTTTCCATTGGATAAGGAGCACGCTACAGAACATGCACCTACAACCTTCAGCCGATGATGTTGATTTCTGTTCAAGATCGGGTTTGAAATCTCTTTAAACACGTCCAGGAGCATAAGCAGAACATTTGAGTGAAAACAGTGGAATGATCTGACGTTTCTCTCCATCAGGGATGACTCTCGCTGAACGTGATGGACAGATGATCAGAGCCTGTGACTGGTGCAGCTCCGGTCACATGGAAACACTTCAGCCGATTCTCACGAGTTTGGAAAAGTTGTTGGTGAAGTCACGAAGGATCTTTAATAATGACTCAAGTGTCCAAATGCACTTTATTTCTAGAGCTGATTTTATAAACAAAAGTCAAGTCAAATAAAAGCAAACCCATAAAATAGTAATAAATAAATCAGTAAAATAACATTTGAGTTTTGGTTTGAGTGACAGTTCTGTAAAAGCTGTTTTGTGAATGACATCAGCTCAGAGGGAGGAGAGAAGGAGAAGGAGAAGAAGAGAGCGATAGAGGGAGAGACAAAAAGTGGTTCCTCTGTTTTCAGCTCATTTTCTCCTGGACTCCATCAGAGAAGCAGCTGCCATCATGTCGGGTAAGTTCTGATTTACAATAGTTACATTTTGACTGTGATGTGTCTGTTCTGTTTTTAGTTTAAATATAGTTCAAATAAAAATGAGCTGTTCAGTGTACATGTGACCTAAGGTACTTTTTCAATAAATAATGTTTAAAATACTAAAATACAATGTCATAAAATAGTCAAGGTAAGTAGGTAAGTCTGTCAGTAAAGTACAGAGCAGAGTAAGGAAAGAGGTCATTGATATTACAGAGTGGAACTGGACAGTTCTAAGTTAAAGCAGCTCTCTGTGACCTTTGTGAGTCGGGCTTTGATTAGAAGGACAGACAGAGGGGGCACAACAACAAATGTTGACAAATATTACCAATACAATATCATCAATTACCTACATTAATTAATTAATTATTAGTTAAACAATTGTTCTGGAAGTTCATAAGTTCTTGTTTATTTACTATATATATATATATATATATATATATATATATATATATATGTATATGTATTATATATTTTTTTTTAAACACTTGTTTTTGGAGAAAAACATCTACTATCACACAGTATCAAGACATTATTATTTAGATATATTTTATTAATGACATGAATATTCTGGAACTGTAGAAATGTATAATATATCCATGTTTCTCCACTGCAGCCATTCTGTTTATTTCAATCTAGTCAGATCAGTCAAAGCAGTGGTAGGAAACTTTGTGTGTGGGGGACATCTGGGTTTCTCACCTTTGCAGCAGGTTGTATCTGTTTTGCAGTTCTTTTTTTTGCAGGGCACAAGTTACATCTTCTTCTCTTCTGTGTCCTTGTGTTGGTTTCTGGTGTGATTTCTTAATCTGGGTCAGGTTCAGATCTCTGCACTGGCCTCAATAACACTGCTGAAGCTGCTGTGTGGAGAAGCTGGTGTCAAGGTTTTTCACTCCTCCTTTATTGGCAGTGTAGTCAAGGATGATGATGATGATGGTGGAGCTCCCAGGAGGTCACCTCTGCAGTCATATGTAATGTGTCATCAGGATGACATTCTTGTTCTTCTTTTACATGTACGAGAGTGAATTCAAACTTAGAAGAAAAGATCTCTCCCCCTTGATTCACTTGTTCCTTCTGTGCTCCATAAACAGGAGCATCACTCTTTCACTGTTTTGAAATTCCTCTTTGCCCTTTTAAAAACCAACAGGTGTCTGTCTCTGTGAACCTGGGGCACTGGGGAATCTCCAAACAGTGAACTTTGAAAACAACACAAACATGGTCTGTGCAATGTCACAGTTTCAAGATTCTCTAAAAAAATAACATTTTAAACATGTTTTCCTTTTTTGTGTATTTTGGCAAAATTTAGTAAAACTCATCACATTTCAGGATAAAAGAATGATACTTAGGCTGTTTTCTTTTTTTCCTACTGTTGAATGTTGACCTGAACAGTATGTAAGGGTTAAATATGAAATATGCAGATGAGTGTAGGTCGCTCTAAACTGGTGTCTAGAGATCTGGATGGATCTAGACCAGAAGTGTCAAACTCAAATTCACAGAGGCCAAAATAAAAAAACTGGGAATAAGTCAGGGGCCAAACTAAATATTTATTGAAAAATGTCAACAACATCTGCATGTTTTCTCTTCTTTAGAGATACGTAAAAACTTTTCTTAAAATAAATGTTTAATAATAGTTTTGCTTAAACATTGAATCCTAGAACAAGCAGAATATAAAATAATAACAACATTTTAAATAAACAATATCTCTATAGTCGGTCTGTATCTGGCGGGCAGTTCTAATACAGATTTGATATGATCTCATGGGCCAAATATAATTATATTGTGGGCCAAATTTGATCCCTGTGCCTGAATTTGACATGTCTGATCTAGATTCATCAGTGAAGCCGTTGTGTGACGTTGTGTGACGTTGTGTGATGTTGTGTGACGTTGTGTGACGTTGTGTGACGTTGTGTGATGTTGTGTGACGTTGTGTGTCGTTGTGTGACGTTGTGTGACGTTGTGTGACGTTGTGTGTTGTGTGGTCATACGACGTGAGAGGAGTGTGGGGATGTCCATGTCCAGTCACGATGTCGTCTTGATCAACGACATTAGAACAGAGATCAGGAAATAGCTTCATTAATACTTTGCAGTGACATATTGCTGAGGGTGTTCTACATGTATGTGTATGACAGAATGTTAAGCAGTTACCATGGTGACACAATGCACACATTAGCAGACACAACTAGTTTTAAGATGATCTGCTTTGTGCCGCAGATGAATTCTCCTCGTCTTTTGTCGCAGACTTCGAGACCATCTACGAGGAGCTGAACTTAACCAACTACATGTACAACTACTCCGGCTTCACCCCTGACCCCGAGACGCAGCCCTGCCCGCACTTCTCCATCAGCAACGTCGCCATGGTCGCCATCGCGGCCTTCTACGTCCTGATCTTCCTCCTGGCGCTGCCCGGCAACCTCTGCGTGTCCCTGGTGATCGCCAACACCAAGCAGGCCCTGCCCCCGTCCGACCTGTACCTGCTCCACCTGGCCATCGCCGACCTCCTGCTGGCCTTCACGCTCCCCTTCTGGGCCACTTCGGTGTCGCGCGGGTGGATCTTCGGAGACATCCTGTGCAAAATCGTCACCGTTTTCCAGGAGCTGAGTTTTTATTCCAGTATCCTGTTCTTGTCGTGCATCAGCGTGGACAGATATCTTGTGATAGTCCGCGCGATGGAGGAGAGGAGGAGGGACCGTAAACTGCTCAGCTGGGCCGTGTGTGGGGCCGTGTGGTTGGTCGGAGCGTTTTTGTCTCTCCCCGGTCTCTTTAGCTCTGCCTACACTTCACAAAACTCAAGTCAAATCGTCTGCCACGAACGCTACGACCCGACCAGCGCGGATTCTTGGCGTTTGGCGACGAGGATCGTGCGTCACACTTTAGGCTTCTTGATCCCGTTGGCGGTCATGCTGGTCTGCTACGGCGTCACCATCCAGCGCTTACTGCAAATCCGCGGAGGTTTTCAGAAGCAGAAAGCGATGCGAGTGATTGTTTGTGTGGTCGGGGCGTTCTTACTGTGCTGGATGCCCTACCACATGGCGGTGATGGCGGACACGTTTTTCCGGACGAAGTTGGTGCCGTACCGGTGTCCAGCGCGGTTGGCCGTGGACGGGGCGATGCTGGCGACGCACAGCCTGGGTCTCCTTCACAGCTGCGTGAACCCGGTGCTCTACGCGTTTGTGGGAGTGAAGTTCAGGAGGAGGTTTGAACAGATCCTCAGGAAGATCGGGCTCAAGAAAAGCACAGCGGTGCCCCGGCCGAGTCGCAGCTCCGTGTCCTCAGAGGCCACCTCCACTTTTATGTGAGGAGATGGAGAACATCTGAACCTGGTGGACTCTCCAACCACATCTTCATCATGGCATTTCCATTCACTGTAAATATAAATGGACATAGCTAACCTGCTAGCAGCTATGTTGCAAACAGGAAGTGAACATGGGCGCACTTACGGCTCCAGTTCACGTTCAATTGAAAAAGTGTGTCCTTGTTTAGGGTGAGCAGATGTCCCGGTTGACCCAGGACAGTCCCAGTTTTGATCCTGTGTCCTCTGTCCCAGCAGATTTACACAAAACCACTGATTTGTCTCAGTATTAAACAAGAAATGTCCCAGATGTCTCTATTTTGGACCAATCTGAGCCTGACAACAGAAAAAAAAGAAGCATAAATTGTCATTTATTTAAGTAAAATACCGAAAAGGATTCTTAAAAAAGTCTAAAACACAAAGAAAATGTGTCTGTACTGTCTCACATGTCATGAATGAGCCGAGTACAAATCAGTTTTCTTTAATGATGACGATTTCACAATTTTATTATCACCAACCACCACAAACCAAGAGTGTCCCAGTTTTTGATTTTGAAAATCTGGTCACCCTACTCTTGCTGTGTAACTGCGACCGTCAGACTCGTCATTTTGGTCTTAAAATGTTTGTCTGAACCTGCTCTACATGATCCTGGAGTTTTATGTCACTGTTTTGTGCCTAAATCAAGATCTGAACATTAATAACAGACAATCTTAGCTCCAAATTGGCTCCTGTAACTGCTGGCCTCATGAGCTTCATTGGACTGCAAACACTGGGTAACGTCACACTCACTTAGTCCACTTCTTTATACAGTCTGTGATCATTTCTCATATTTTCAAACATCATGTTAAATCTTTGGGCATTGTGCATCAGGAGGAGCTGTTGTACTTTGGTTAGAATGCTGGAGGTCTTGGTTTAGACCCAGATTAGACCTGGTCCAGTCCTGGTCCAGTCCTTTTATATGAGAACTCACAACATTCTCTTAAAACATTACACTGTTTGATTTGTTTCAGTCTTTTCATTTTGAGGACTTATGATCGTTTAAAGTGCAGATGAAGGTCAGAACACTTGTTCTCTAAAAGACCATTAACATCAGGTTTTATTCTGCTGAATTGATATTGTTAAATTGTTATTTTGTGGTTGGACACGAGCAGCAGATGGGACATATGCAGAGGTCATTCCTGAACTGTTACCTAGCAACCATAATGTAAACAAGGGCCGAAGCCTCTTCAGACTCCACAATCGTGATCATTAGATGAACACAAACAAATGACAACAGATTTATTTAGTGAAATGAAGGTTTAAAGTGTCAGAAAAACTCTGCATGTTGGATGGAGGTTTCTGTGTTGATGACACAGACAGAGGGATTCTGTTTTACAGCTCAGAGCTACATCTTGTAATTATTTGTTATTATTGCTATTATTATTTGTTCAACTGTTTTTCCACAAACTGTCACTTCACTGATGTAAAAGTCTGATAAATATGGAGCACAGATATTATCCAACAAACCTAGTCACTGTTAGAACAAATGGAATTGTGACATTTGGACTTTAAGGTCTGGTATGTTTAGTTTGATCAATGTGAAAATCATGGATTCAGTTACACTGGTGTCATTTCATCCACAGTCGAGTTTTTATCTGTATATACTGTTGTTTTTTATGTAAAATAAGATGTTTATTTTTATATTTCACGATTATGTGTAAACTGCTGCACACTGGGAGCAGTTGCTACATTCATCTGGTGGTTTGGTCTGGGTTTAGTCCTGGTTTAGTTCTAGTTTAGTTCTAGTTTAGTCCTGGTATATACTTAGTTTAGTCCTGGTTTAGTTCTGGTTTAGTCCTGGTTTATACTTAGTTTAGTCTTGGTTTAGTTCTGGTTTAGTCCTGGTTTATACTTAGTTTAGTCTTGGTTTAGACCTGGTTTAGTCCTGGTTTAGACCTGGTTTATACTTAGTTTAGTCCTGGTTTAGTCCTGGTTTATACTTAGTTTAGTTCTGGTTTAGACCTGGTTTATACTTAGTTTAGTCTTGGTTTAGTTCTGGTTTAGTCCTGGTTTAGACCTGGTTTAGTCTTGGTTTAGTCATGGATTAAAGTTTAGTTTTGTTCTAGTTTAAACCGTTTTTAGGTTCTTGAACATTCTGGGCTAAATGTGAAATAAAACTGAGTGAAGTGACGCACACAGAGGACATGCATGTGTGTGTGCGTGTGTGTGTGTGTGTGTGTGTGTGTGTGCGTGTGCGTGTGTGTGTGTGTGTGTGTGTGTGTGTGTGATGAAACCTCGTGTCTGAGCTGTTTCTTCATGTGTCTTTGCTCTTTTATTTATCTAAAAGTGTGTTCCTGTTGATCTTAGACCGGCTGAACCTTCGTCCTTTTTCATTCCTGAGTCTGTTTTGTGAAGTAACTTTGGAGCAGACAAAATTTCTCAAGTTTCAAACGTAACTTCACCACAGATTTGCTCCATTCAGCCATGATGTAAAATGTCTGTCTGTAAATACAAGCTCGTGTACAAATCACAAACGAATATTTTTATATCAATACAGCGTTTATATGTTGTGCTTTTGGTTTATTCTTTTATACAGTTTTTTGTATTTCTGAATATTTCCTGTTATTTGTAAGTCAAGTACTGATAAAATACTTTTACAATATGCTAAAATGGAGTTGTATTTTATTTTTTTCTTTAATAAATATTTGCTTGGTTCTAATTCTGGTATTTTCCTTTAATTTTCCAGGTTTAAGACTTAATGAATTGAGTCGCCTAAACAAATCTGCTTTATTTTTCTTATTTATTTATTTATACATTTTTTGCATAAAGTCCCACACCTACTCACAGTTAAATTCCCATCACAGGGCACAAATGTTACACAGTGCAGCTTTAATAATGTTCTAACTCTGACATGGAACAATGAACAGCACGAGGTCATTATTATTATTATTATTATTATTATTATTATTATTATTATTATTATTATTATTATTATTATTATTATTATTATTATTATTATTATTATTGTTGTTGTTGTTATTATTATTATAAACAAATCATCATTATTATTCTAAGTGATCATTATTATTATTCTAATCAAAGATCACAAAGAAGGACCTAAAATCCAGTTCTTGGAAAGTACACTCCAGGACAGGTGTTATATAAAGGTTATTTACACCCTGTGACATCATCAGGTGGTTATTTCAGACCGTAAATTATCGTTAAAATGTGTGTCAACATAGAACTAAAAAAAAAGAACAAAGCAGGACTAAACCAGGACTAAACCAGGTCTAAACCAGGTCTAAACCAGGACTAAACCAGGTCTAAACCAGGACTAAACCAGGTCTAAACCAGGACTAAACCAGGTCTAAACCAGGACTAAACCAGGTCTAAACCAGGACTAAACAGGACTAAACCAGGACTAAACCAGGACTAAACCAGGTCTAAACCAGGACTAAACCAGGTCTAACCAGGACTAAACCAGGACTAAACCAGGTCTAAACCAGGACTAAACCAGGACTAAACCAGGTCTAAACCACTAAACCAGGACTAAACCAGGACCTAAACTCTAAACCACTAAACCAGGTCTAAACCAGGACTGAACCAGGACTAAACCAGGACTAAACCAGGTCTAAACTAGGACTAAAGTAGGACTAAACTAGGACTAAACCAAGACTACACTAGGACTACTAAACCAGGTCTAAACTAGGACTAAACCAGGACTACACTAGGACTAAAGTAGGTCTAAACTAGGACTAAACCAGGACTACACTAGGACTAAACCAGGCCTAAACCAGGACTAAACCTGGACTAAACCAGGACTAAACCTGGACTACACTAGGACCAAACAAGTACTAAAGCCCTCCAACCTTGAACTAAACCAGGACTTAAATCATACTGGAAAAAAATCACTTCTGGAGGTAGTAAAATATATTCAATCAACTGTGGTAATTTGTACACTGAAATAACATCACTCTGTGAGAACTACAACTTATTTAACAGCAATGGACAAAATGTACTTGTTGTCCTCCTGTAGTGAAGTGTTTAGTGGGTCAGTTTTACTGTACTGTACTGTACTATCAGAGTATAAAGTATAAAGTATTTGGAGCAGTTCAGTTGGTAAGAACGTTTATCCACTGATTTGAAGGTTTACTGTTTGAATCCTGCTCTTGACATAAAAAGAAAACATCCTCAGGAGACCGCTCAGATTCACTGACCCAGAGGTTGGTGGTGTGATTCCAGCTCCCACAGATGAATACTGTTGTTGTCTCCTTGGGCAAGACACTTACCCCCCTCGCCCTAAGTGTTTGCACACACTGATGTGTAAATGTTTGTGTGTGTGTGTGTGTGTGTGTGTGTGTGGTTCTTTGTTCTAAAGCCCTTTGAGCCTTGAAGGTGGATCAGCTCTATATAAAAATGAATTATGCATTTATTCTACATTAGTAAATATGAGTAATATAATATTTACTTCATTATTTCATCACAGCAGTGCAATTCGTTATGATAATGTTTTATATAATTTACTTGCATGAATATAATATCTAACTTTAAGAAAAAAGAGTAACAATAGTGGTGGTAAGTACATTTGACTTAATACTGATGAGTCAATTGCAGCTGATTTTACAGCAGTAACACTGACTCCAAAAGTGCAAGTGTAAATTGTTAGAAGGATTTTTTTTTTCTAGTAAATCTAACAAATTCTTTTTTTTTTTTTTTTTTTTTTTTCAGGGCAAGATGAAACCAGGACTAAACCAGGACTAAACAAGAACTAAACCAGGACTAAAGTCGGACTGAACCAGATCTAATCCAAGAGTAAACCAGGACTAAACCAGAACTAAAGTTGGACTAAACCAGATCTAAACTAGGACTAAAGCAGGACTAAACTAGGACTAAACCAGGACTAACCCAGGCCTAAACCAGGACTAACCCAGGACTAAACCAGGACTAACCCAGGACTAAATCATAACTAAACCGAGTCTAAATCAGAGCTCAACCAAGACTAAACCAGGACTAAACCAGGATTAAAGGATTTATTTAACAGGACTAAACCACAGTGTTTTTATGTCATAATATCAAACCATAAGAGTTTGTTTGTTTTGTTCCATTTTCTATAAAACAACAGTATTTTGATCCAGTTCTGAGTGCGTTCTTCATTCACTGTGACACTTGTACAAATTGACCCACAAATAAAGCGTCCGCCCCCTCGCTGTGCCCTGTCCCCCTGCACATGTGACCCTGCCGGGCTAAATCTGTCCTGCAGGGTGGGGGGGCAGGTGTCTGGAGCTTTAGGGGGGCCACAGCTGTCATGTACCCGGCCTGGTGCTGTCATTTCCCCCTTTGGACCGTGCCTCTGCCCTGAGCGCCATGGAGCGAGAACCGAGGAGGCCCACCAGCCGCTAACGCCAGGATCTAACGCCTTTTTCGGATCATTTTCACTTTCAAGTTTGTAGATTTTGGATTCACGACGAAATTTCACTCAAGATTTATCAATATTTGGGGAAGGAAAACGGCAAGTGATAGGTTACAAAGAGGTCTCACCGCAATATGATCCAGCGCAGCTAAAAATACCACGGCTTTGGACGGTAGCTTGGACTTTATGAAGTAGGTAACCCCGTTTTTTAACCAAATATTTCAGATTAAAGCAAGATCGGCATGTTTTAATTGAGAATTGTAGTGTTTTGAAACTTAGAAATGGTCTTAAACTTTTGCATGTCAGGAGAATGTTATGAAATCTGGTGAAATGTGTAGAATTGTGAGTAGAGGTTTGCTGCAGAGGTTCAGAAGTGAGTCAGAACAAGGTGAGTGGTTAATGCAACGTGATCCTTTGGCTTTAACCTAAAAATACCAGAGCTCCAAGGACTCGCGGCTAGCTTCAATTAGCAGGTAATTAAGAATCAAAGTCACAAATGAGGGTTAGAAAGATTCATTCTGTTGTTTTGATGAGTTCAGTTTGAGTTGTAAATGTAAACATGGTGTTTTTGTTGAGAGATTGATCTGATCATTCGACACGACATAAGATCTGTATTCTTCTTATAAAGACAATTTACAAAAAGCTCAAAGGTTTTAGATAATGTAAAACAGATCCAGATGATTCTAGTGAAGGTGTGTGGAGTTTAAAAACACAGTGGAGCACTTCTTGTATTACCACATGGCATCACAAGATGGAACAGAGAGAAATACTCAGTCTAAATGTGCAGAGTTTGTACGTGTGAATGAAACAAAACATAACTCCAGGTCAGTTTGTGATGAGGAAACATTAGAACGTGTCTTAAAGTTTACGCTTGATTTGGTCGATACAGGATCTTTAAATGAGTGACAAACAAACTCCTCTTAAATCATCTTATTCATTATGTTGTTTGTGACTTGTGGCTGTAGTTTCTGGTTTCCCATTTTAATAAAAAATAAATAAAATTTAGACCAAGGCAAAGTCATTTCTCGACTCTAACACAAACTCATTACCTTTGTCTTTGTCTGTTGTTCTTTTCACAGTTAAAATAGAAACCTCAGTCACTCCAATGAAGCACATTTTAACTTAGACTAACTTAATCCACTTTACTCAAATCAAATCAAATTCACAGAGGCCAAAATTAAAAACTGGGACTAAGTCATGGGCCAAACGAAATATTTATTGAAAAATTTCAACAACATCTGCATGTTTTCTCTTCTTTTGAGATCTGTACTTTTTAAAAAATAAATGTTTAATAATAGTTTTGCTTAAACATTGAATTCAGAACAAGCAGAATATAAAATAATAACACATTTTAAATAAATCATGTCTCTATAGTCCATCTGTAGTCAGCGAGCCAAATATAATTATATCACGGGCCAAATTTGGCCCCTGGGCCTGAGTTTGACATGTCTGTCACAGACTGTATAAAGAAGTGGACTAAGTGAGTGTCACATCACCCACAGAGTTCAGCTCCAGTCAAATGAAGCTCACAGAGGCCTGCGGTTAGAGGAGAGAATTTGGAGCCAGGTCCATTTTAGGAATTTATTAACAAACAAAATTGTGAAATAAAAACTCCATGATCATGTAGAAATGGTTTAAAACAAACATTTTAGACCAAAATAGACCTTCCACTAATAGACCACTTCCAGTTCCTGTTTTTCTATGGCAAAAATATTTATGTAAATGAGTGTTGTTTTCTCCAGCAGCTTCATAAATCTGCTTCATCACCAAATCTTCAACCAACAAACTCCACAAAGAATAAACATTCTTCATGAACAATTTATCCACAACTATCAAGAGAAGAAAGAGCGAAACTTAAAGGTGAACAACGACCACACATAAGTGACACAAGAAACTAAACTAACACTATGGTCATGAATAAAACACAAGTAATAAGTAATTTGTTAATAAGGAAATTGTTCACTCAGACTGATTCTAGAATTCAAATTAAAACGGGTTTCATGATGTAGATATTAACACAGACAGATTTGTGCAGTTCAAATGCTACAGATGTTCACAGATCACATGTCTCACATTTAAACTGCACAAATCTGTCTCTAAAATCCTAGAGTGTGTGTTCAATGTGTCACTTATGTGTGGTCGTTGTTTCCTTTAAGTTTTGGTCTTTCTTCTCTTGATAGTTGTGGATAAATTGTTCATGAAGAATGTTTATTCTTTGTGGAGTTTGTTGGTTGAAGATTTGGTGATGGGGCAGATTTATGAAGCTGCTGGAGAATACAACACACATTTACACACATATTTTAGCACAG